CTTGCCGTGATCGTCTCGAATTGTGGATATCCGAGTGTCATGTCACGACCGTGAAGCCCTTCACTTCAACCTCCCACGTGCTTCAGGGCGACGGGGCTGCACGTTAACGCTGTGTAGCCGCGCAGCAAGCAGAGCTGACTCCAATATCATCGCCACTGTAGCTATCGCTGCTACAAGACAGCCGGCATGCAGACAGCCATGCTGCGGCAAGATGAGAGAGCGCGACATAGGTATGTGATGAACTCCCTGGCGAGCGGCTGCTTCCATGGGGCCACGCAGCAAGGTCATCCGTCTACGACATGGATGCATTTCGCCAGCACTTTCCATCTCACTATCCAGAGCGTGGTGTGTGACTCAATATCTCTGAGGATCCAACCTTTGCAACACAGCACGGTCAATCACAGTGACAAGGCAAGGCTGGATGTTGATTGGCAACGCGAGATAATGTCACATCTTATCTCGACTTCGGCTAGATCTTTCAGAGCCGACATCATCATCATGCGGTCTCACACAAACATGACCTTCCTACCCCTTCCTCCCTTCCCAACGTATCGAATGTCAGTCCGATCGATCAACAAGAGACCAGTTCCCACCACACTCTCTCTCCACTGTAAATACCGCACGCACGAGCGCGATCCCGGTATTCCACGCAGCCCGTGTCCCGCGAATCGTCTCGTCAAACGCGGTCTCAAAGGGCTAATCCGTCCAGCCCGACCCGAGATCAAACCAGGCGAGGGCACGGACTCCCCCTTGACCGAATGTCAATAGAAATAATGTTTTCTATCTACCTCGCTGTGGCAGCAGCGTGCAGGTGGACAATCATATCGAAACAGAAAGAAAGAACCAACGACGAATACGAACAAAACAGACAGACCGTCTGCGCAAGATAAGGCTAGGCCGGCGACAATAAGAAACACATCCCCTTTTATATCCTCTTTCTCATGAAGAACTTTCATCAAGTCGACATCATCCCAGTCCCCCCCTCTTCCGCGCGCGCCTGCCTCGTCTTCTTCTGATGAAGCCACCAGTTCGCACGTTTCCATTTCGGCAACCACTCCTGCACGTGCCAGCGCTCGGCGGCTTCGGGTCCAAGCTCTGTCGAATGCGTTTGTTAGACTTGTCTACATACTTATCCAAGTGTCCGGTGAGCAAGCACTTACCGCGGGAAAGCTAACTCGGATATTCTTGGGCCTGCGCCCATGCCTCCATGCTGGTCCAGGAGGGATGGCATGCCGGGATCGGGTGGTTCGGGATGGCGGGTCCGAAGGGGTTGTCGATGGTTACCGTGGATCCAAGGTTAGCATCAGGTCGTGAGGCCGGGAGAAGAGCTGAGGGGATGATCCCGGTCGGGGCTGGTATTGGAGTCGAGCGCATCATGGGAGTTGAGGCGACTATTGAGGTCGAGGGCGCGATCATGGTCGACGGAGCCCACCCTTGAAATGGCCGGGGGCTGTCCAAGTGCCCAGCAGCAACAGTCGGGTAATATGTCATCGGCCCTGTATTCGGCCTCGAGGCGACGAGGTTTGGCGGCTGGATTAGACTCGTCTGGGCAGTGTTTCCATGGACAGGTCTCGCGATGTCGGCGTCATCGTCATCTTCTTCTTCCAGGTACAAGGGAATGTAGCCTTCATTCTCTGCCGTCGTGACTCCTGGAGGCGCGTGTTGCTGCTGGTTTGGAAAAGCCTGTGCCGAGATTGGATGATGTTGCTGATGAGGTGGGAAGGCCCCCATCGAGATCGACTCAATGTATTGCGGCTGAGGCTGAAACCCCTGTATCGACATTGAATGGCATTGCCGGGGCATTGGAAAGGGATCCAAGGTGCTCGGTGCCGTGCTGTCGGTCGTGTTGCAGAAGGGTTCGCACTGGTGGTAGACGTCACGCTGTCCGTGGGTCTCGTAGGGAGGATAGCCCGTGTTGACCATGCCACTGTAGTCGGTCTGCACAGGCATCGTTCCCGGAGTGGGTTGATTTTGCTCGAACGTCAGCGGTGATGCTTTAAACGGAAAAGTCGATGTTTGGAATGCCAAAGACGAATTCGGTTGTTGAAGCGATGAAGCAGGTTGCTGTAAAGAAGAAGCGGACTGTTGAAGTGACGGAGCCGGCGCTTGAAACGACGAATTGGGTTGTTGAAACCATCTAGACGGCTGTTGGAAAGACGGTGCGGGTTGCTGGAAAGAAGAAACAGGCTGTTGATACGACGAGCAGGGTGCTACAAACGAATGAGCTGGAGTTGACACGAAGCTGCCCGTTACACCGCCAGGGGGGTCGGCGTAGTAGCCATACCCGTGCGGGTGTGCCAGAGCACTCGCCGGCTCACCGTACGCAGCGCCGTTGTTGTAGGCACCGTTGATGAGAGGAGCCTGTCCCACCGGTGTGAAGGCGGCGCCAGGAAGCACGTCTTGCGACGTGGGCTTCGGGAACACCGTCCACTCCAACACCTGGTGGTATCGAGTCCTCTTGGCCGTCGCCGGAGTAGTTCTCTTCTTCCCCTTGCGAGTGACGTAGAAACAGTGCTCCGGCTTTTCGCAATTATTGCATGGTTTCGCGTGATTGCACTTTTTCGCGATTTTTTTCTTCCTGCAGGCTTCGCACGCGCCACGGCGGTAGGACTGTGGGCGTGATGGTTTGATTTTAACGGACATGTCTGACTCTTGGCTTAGTGACATCGGACGCGTGGTTTCTTTTTCGGACTTGTCGTCTTCGACCTCGACGTCTTCGTGGGGCTTGACTTCTCCCACACGGAGCTTGGCTGTGTCTGAATCACCTCTGCCAATGGCGTTTGCTGCCACGCCGTGAGCCTCCTCCAACCCCAACAACGTCGAGCACACCAACGCGCCCCTTCCCCTTGTCTTCAGCTTTGCGTCATCAGCACGCATCTCGGTTTCATAACGCGTGATGTCTCGCTGCCGCTTCGGCGTCGTCGCATTGACCGGTGATTCGGTCTCGTCAGGTAACGCAGTCGTGTCATCAGGGAGCGACATCCACCCAGCAAAGGTATTGTCCGGGGGCTCGCATGCCTTTTTCAACCGTGTGCACCTGCCGCACGGAGACCCTCCATCACAGCTTGCCTTTGCGTAAAAGCAGCCGTCACATGTGTTCCGAGCGTTGCATCTCCGTTCGAATGTATGGAAGGTGCATGCGAGTTTGTATTGTTTGCACCTGTGGCACGGATATCCGCCCTCGCACCTTGATCTTGTCATTTCGCAGTTGACGCACGGCTTCCAGTCCGTGGCAAGGTCCACGGAGTTTGTGCCGCTGCATCCTGGCTCGGTGCTAGGCCCAGGTGCTGGGTGGTCCACCAATTTCCCGGCGAACGTGGGGTCTAACAATCGTTTGTTAGTCCATTTTCATGTATATCCGAAGGGGGAATAGTCAAAAAGTACGTACCTGTGACAGGCGACTCTTGGAAGGAAGATGCGCGAATCATGGTGTCCATCCAATCGGCTGAGCAGCGTCGGAAACCGGAAGGAGCGCCGCTGTCAACGCTTGAGGAAGGAAAGCGTCGAAGCTATGGAGGGATAGTCAGGGTGCGGGCCGAGGCAAAGTTCACGCGGCGAGAGGCACAAGGCGAGGAGGTGTAGGCACGGGTCTGCGCGTAGTGGAAATTTTGCGGATGAAGTGACGGCTGAGCAAGAGCGTCTACTCGGGCTGATGGACGGGACTAATAAACCACTTGATGTCAGTAGAAAATGGAAAACACTTTCCCTCCTCCCTCCCTGCCACCCCGGTCATGGTGTGCGGATATATCCTTCTCTGGCCGACTGGAGAGGCTGGTGGTTGCCATCGAGTGCTCGCAATTGGAACAGAACAGATCAAAAACTCGCATTCGCCGACGTTGGGCTCTTCGGATTGGTTGTGACGTGGTGGTGTGGTATACTGGGCAGGGGAGGGTTGTTTTTTGCTGCAAGATCCCGACCACTCGGGGGGCCTGACAACCTCTAGGTTGACCATCGAGCATTGAGGCTGTAACGAGTTTTGTTGCAGAGTGGAGAGCAGAGGTGTCTTGGCCTCATCAGCTCTACTTGTGATTGGGTGGACAAAGGCCCTTCTTGTGACTCACCATTTTAGCCTCCGTTGCTGTGAAGTTGTCAGGTTCTGATTGGCAGAGCCGCCATTCTTCCCTGGTGCTAGAGAAGATGCCATCCAGTCTCGCACAGCACAGCACATCCGAAAGCCGGTGAGTTCGTAACAATAAATGCGGCGCTGGTAGTGGCTGAGACCCAAGGAAAGCTCCTTCTCCACCCGGAAGACAGGGTGGACTTTCCGTGCGGCAGAAACGGGTGAGGAAAAGTCAAACCGAAGTGAGAAGTTGAGCTTAACGGGGAAGGAAACAGGCGCAACGGGGCGCAATGGGGCGCAATGGGGCGCTCAGTAGTGCCACAATATGACACTTGCTAGCGCAGAGCTTGGACCAATTCTCGCCTGAATTCATGCAGGATCCCGATCGGGATTTCGCATGCACTAGTCTGTAAAGGGATTAGTGAGACCGGATTGAGGCTGCCAAGTCTGACTTCTGTGAGATCCCAATCGCTTCATTTGGAAGTATCGTCTGCCCTCGCCCAATGATGGCGATTGTCGAAAGGGTCAGGCTTTACAAGGTCTAAAATACGTCCATCAGAGTTTCTGGCTTGGATTTGGGTGGCATGTAGCCAATATCTCCGTTGATAGGAGACGTCCATCCACCAATCTGGCATGGAGCCCGTTGTCGTTGTGGGGGCTACGAGTATGCTGCCTCATCGTGCCGCATGTCGCCGCCGTTTCTAGTGTTTTGCTATTTCTCTGCCAGGCTTCTCCTCCATGGTCCTGATTTTTTTTACTTTTGAACTTAACCTTTCCTCCTTTATTCTCGCTAGTCTCTTTACTTTCTTTCCTAGTCTCTACATTTTGTTGCCCCGGGGGTGAACTCACTTCCTATGCTTATCGTGGACAAGAATCGCTTCTCGCCTGAACTTTCCAGCACCGTCAGTCATCGTCGACTCAGCGTCAAGCCGAAGCCGCCATGTGGGACATCCAGATGACCCTCGGACCGGTCCGGATCGCTGTCGCCGCGGCCATTGGGGTGTATTTCCTCGGGGCCAAGTGCCGCCATGTACAGACACGCCGGCGTGATGAGGCTCCCTTTGTTTGGCTCTTGATGATCACGTTCTTTGTGGCTGCAGCCGAGCTTACCGCTTTGATTGCCCTTTGGGCCGATGGCATCTCCAAGTTCCAGCCGTTGGCCGTGGCCACCCTCTATGTCCTCGCTCTCTTGGTGCATCTCAACCACCTCTTGCCCACGCCGATCCAGGCAAACGACGACAAGACGGGGCCGTCATGGCATGCGTATGTGGGCGCCTGGACCTTCATGATCTTGTCTGATATGCTCGCCATTGTCGAGCTCGCCGTCGTACCCATATCCTCGCAGTCCGACCTCATCTTTGCCGCGGCATTGAGCCTCCGCGGTTGCCTTCTCTTGGCCAGGTAAGCGAAGACATACCCGGCTCGACACCCTCTCGCATGGCTGCTCCCTTCCCCCTCAGTATCGCGACTACCACTATAGCCAAGGCAAGCAGTGCGCAGAAAAGAAATGGACTACAAAGCAAGAAGAGGAAATGCTCTCCCACACTCCGGAGAAACATCAGCGAAGAGATCCGCGATGCTGGCGGCCGGTGGTAGTGGATGAAAAAATTCCGCATCTTCGTGCCGTGGATGTGGCCGAGCCAGCTGCCGTGGATGAAGGCGCGCATCGTCTGCGCCATCATCGTGCTCGGATTGGAGACGCTCCTGTCGCTGTGCGTGCCGGACGTGCAGGGCGCCTTTGCCCAGAGCGTCGTGCAGGCGTACACGGCCCAACACCTCGGCTCCGTGTGGAAGCCGCTCGTGCTGGTCGTGGTTGTCCAGTTCGCCAACTCGAGTAGCGGACTGTTGGCCGTGCCCACGTTGTTGTGGGCCAAGTTCAAGCTCGGCCGCAAGGCCAAAGTGCGCAAGCTCGTCTACGAGCATCTCATGAATCACGAGGCCGCCTTCCATAACTCGACGGACCCGACTGACATCAGCATGGCCGCGTCCGTCGTGGCGTTCGGCGGGGATATGACTCTGGCCAAGGCCCCGATGCGGCACCTCACGCGGATCCCCGAGCACATCATGGAAGATCTGTACAACGCCGACCACCTCCGCCGACTGCTCGAGATTGTGCCCAAGATGAAGTACGGGCCCAAGAACCTTAACCTTGACGTTAGTGGCGGCACCATCGAATTCAAAACCGTCACCTTTGGCTATCCCCCGGCTGCCGATGGCGCGGGCAGTTAGACGATCCTCAAATACTTCTCTCTCGTCGTCAACAGCGGTCACACAACCGCCCTCGTCGGCCCGTCTGGCTGCGGCAAGTCGACCATTATCAACCTCGTGAAGCGGTCGTATGATCCCGACAAGGGCACCATCCACATCGACGGCCCGGGACATCAAGGAGCTGCAAAAGGGAGAGTGAGTGACACTGTTTGCATTCTTGCTCTTACTTCTCCTTGCACTTGGATTCCCTTGCACAAATTTTCATGATGTTACTAACATATCGAACCCACCATACATGCTGTCCAAGTACATCTTCGTCATGGCTCAGACGCCGTACCTCTTCAACCACACTTTCTTGCACAATATCAAGTACGGCCGGCCAGATGCCACAGAGACAGAGCTACACGATGCTGAGACCGCGCCGGTATTCACGACACGGTCAACAGTCTCCTGGATCTCTCTTCTCGCATGATTGAGGTGGTGGACCGTGACCGTCTTGACATCATATTGTCGTCGAGTTGTTACTGACTATGCACCAGCCGTAACCGTTTGACTTACTTCTTTCTTCTTTCTTCTCCCTTCCGGGTGTCGTTAGAAGTGTCAGTCAATCAACCGACTTCTTTTACCTTCTGACTCTACCTCCGCCTCTACCTCTACTCTCCCTCCGTCTCCCTCTCTGACTTGGACTCTACGTCTGACTCTGTTCTGACACAGACAACGCCTCTCAACCATCATGGACGCCGACACGATCGTCGTGATGAAAAAGGGTGAGGACGGTGCGGCAAGATCGCCGAGAAGGCAACACACCGTCAGCTCATCCAGCGTAATGGCATTTACGCGGGATTGTGGAGGAAGCAGACTGGGGAGGACAAGGCGGACAAGGCGGACAAGGCGGAATGCGGGAAGTGAGATGTTCATCGCGTCGTTGTCTTCCAGGGACAGACGGTGATGGTGGTGGTGGTGGTGGCAGTGATTGAGATAGTAGTGACGGTGGTTATGCCGGTGATGGCAAAGATCATGATGACTATAACGACGACGACGATGATGGAAAGGAGGGTGAAGATCAAGACAAGGGACTGCGAATCCCTTGCGCGTACCCTTTATGCATTATGTCTAGTATTCTGTCACCAGGTTAGGGACTTGACGATATGTAGATGAAAGGGAAAAGGGAGAGGAAAGGGAAAAATAAAAAGAATGGGGAATTTCAGCTTTTAGATGTTTTTGAAATGGTACGACCCCGCCGGTATAGGTCGGCTGGATCGAGAACACCGACTCCGTGATAAAATATGAACAAGAAGGATAGTAATTCTTGAGGTAGCAAGTAGTTGGTTGGGCACTTGTCGTTGTCCGCAGCATGCTAATGTCCGATGATATAGGCAGAGAGGGAGAAGTGGCGGAAGATGGTGTGTGTATTTCACAAGCCCCGCGGAGCGGGGATTGATCCTCACCGTTTCGCGCGATTCCTCCGCGGTGGATAATCCTTGTTGCTCGGCTCCGCCGCGCACGTGTCGGTCTTTATTTCTTCGAAAGGCCAAGGGCATTGAGAAAGACTTTGGAAGAAATAAAGATGAGGCGGTATTGGACGAGACTGTAGGTATAAGAAAGATGAGGTCCTATATCAAAGGTGGTGCTCGCCAACGTTGATGGAATGTCTGCGTGTAGCATGGTGAGCCGCTGTCATTACTTGAGACCTTCGGAGGTTTAAAACAACGATAACCTTGGGCCAGTCGAGCATCTCGCCTGTAGCGCGTCTGCTACTTTCTGGAACATGGATGGCCCGCCTGTGCCTTTCTTGAGGTCGACATGAAGACCACGATGGCGGTCCAAAAGTGTTGTAAACCCCCGGATATGTGCTTGCAATGTGGCGTTATCATCGGAGCTGATTCACTAGCGGAGCCGTCCGTGTTCTCATACTCGGACACGCTCGTCCTCCAGCCAGCAGCGGAGCGAGCACCCAAGTCAAAGGGGTTGTCAGTAACGCTTTCCGACGAGACAACGGAGCAGTCAGCCCTGATATATGTCAAGAAGCACGACATCAATCCCACTGCCCACTACCTAAAGGGTAGCTGGCAGACCGTGATTGGCTAGTGCGTGACATAACGTCCAAACAGAGCCGGACATTATTCGCAGGATCTCGTGGTGGACATGAGGGTGGAGAAGATACCGAGCTGAGGAATCTAGCGCTTGTGTAGGAGAGCGAGCGAGAAGCCATGGACGAAGGGTCGTGTAAAGACACAACGGGGCACTATTGAAGCTGGGAGACTTTGGAATCGTTCCCGTGGCGTGAGGAGGCTCAGATAGAAGGACCTTGCTTGTCTGGGCTGGAGGATCTTGTGACTGACACTACTCTCGACCAACTTCCTCAGCAGGAGTAGGACGACGAGGACGACAGCGTGATTTGATCCATCGTACAAAGCGGACGGTTGAGGCATCGTCAAACCCTTTGCAGAAAATCTTTTGTCTTTGCGGAGTTGTTTGACGTGCGTGATTGAGGTTGAGTGATCGGCACCTTTCCTCAAGTCAGTCTGAGGCTCAATCCTGCGTGTGTGTCACAGAACTTCGAGGTCACAGACCGGGGTCATCTCACTGCTTCTCCTTGTCTGGATTCGAATCATCGTCCGTAGGAAGGGCGGTTGCAACTCATCCAGCATCGTCAGGTGAGGAAGATGGGGATGGACTGGAACGGGCCAGCAGATCGACAGCTCACAATGTCCAAGGAGAATGGCAGCAGATCATGGTGTTACGGAACACGGCACTTTTGACTGATGCGAAATGACTTGATCATGGTACAGTGGAGGCCCGCGCAGGCCAGTAGTGGTGGACTGAGGAGTGCATCCCGCACGTCTTCACAGTCATAGCCAGAGTCCACACAGCACCTGCTCTTCGGGTGCCAAAGACTGCGAGTAGTCGAGAAGACGGCATAACAATGAGCCAAGGACAGTCCCTGACAGCTCCGCTCTGTCTGCGACAACGTCAAGAAGATAAAGGGGAAAGGTCGACGTCAGGGCAGAAAGACAGCGAAGGCGTGAACTCCAGGCTACGACGGTAGCGGAACAGACGGAGAAGGACTGTCATATGCAGCAGTCGAGGTGTACTCATGTGCTGCAATTCCAGTGTCAGAGTGTGGTGAGAAGGGACCTTGGCACACGTAATCATGAGCTAGGCTTGATTTGGTAAGGACATAATGTTTAACTGCACTATCGACTTCCTAATTAGGACTAGCTAATTTAGTCTCACGTGAGCCACTCGAGCAATCCGCTTGGGCACTCCGCTTAGTCATCGAGACCTTGGCAGCCAGTTGGCTCACCGCAGACATCGTCCCGTATGAGTTTCGTGGTTCCACTGACAATGCACCGCTGACATCCACTATTTGGCTTGTAGGGTCATCACTAGGCTCTCACAATCTCTGCACCTTATCAGCGCCACCGTAAACACACAGCCTATTGTGCGTCCCTTGTCGCGCGGCTCTGTGCATCCTGCAGCCTGCTCTTTTATCGCCTTCGCTCTCCTGCGATCCCTCGACCTGTTCTCCGTTTCCTTACCCGCTACGACCTCCTGCGACACCGTGTGAGCTTTCCGCCTCTCCGATGCAATCCTTTCCATGAGCGTGTTGACGGAGACGCACCTTCATTTCGGTTGAAAATAAACCTTTTCAGGATCATTCTCTCAACGACACGCCTATTCTGAGTGTGGGCTTCGCTATGATGTCTCCTCGCGATTCTCAAAGTGATGTGGCTGTAGACAAAAGACACGAATCTGCGCAATTGGACTGGGAATACATTGAAAATGAGGATGATAATATGCTCGTGAAATTGGAATACCCACGGCTGAAACAGGAGTTTCTTGAGTATCTGGGGAGTCATACTGATGATATTGAGAAGATCGTTACCCAGCATGTCCGTTTGTCGCCCGGTCAACGTTGTACAGTCTCACCGCCATCGGACTGGCTTTGTGGAAGCTTCAACGCTTGCCTTCCGATCCACGTCAGCGGGCCAAGGCCGCAGCGACTTCTGATCAAGTGTCCTCTTCCCCATCGGCTCGGAGGAGTGACGGATCCACGGTTGTTAGACGAAAAGGTTCGCTCCGAGGCTGCTTCCTTTGCGTGGATCTCCCAGAATTGCCCTCGAGTGCCCATCCCAAGGCTATGGGGATTTGGTCTTCCCAATGGCTTGGCTGTAGGTGTCTCAGTTTTCGATCCTAAGTCAAGACTTACTCATAATCTAGTTTACCTCCGTCTCCCGACTTCCCTGGTATTTGCGTGCTTTTGAATATATGAAAAGAGGTCTAGCATGGATCCTGCGAAAGCCTTTTCATCGGCCGTTTGTTCCCCGTCGACATCCCGCATCTCTCAAATCCGGCTACCTCCTGATGGATTTCATCGACAAGAACCAAGGCACATTGTTGTCCAACAGGTGGCCACTCCGTACGGATGCCAGTGGTCAGAAACAGAATCTCTACAGAGATCTTTCCAGGCTCATGCTCAATTTGGCCCATCCATTGTGCAAAATAGGCACTTTCACGGTCGATAATGATGGTGAAGTGCGTCTAAGTCAACGTCCATTGACCCTGCAACTCGCTGTCTTGGAGAATCAAGGCATTCCCACTGAAATCTCACCAAATACATGTTATTCGCGGTCCGACCCTTATTTCCATGACCTCTTACGCTGCCATGACCTGAAATTGCAGCATCAGCCAAACTCAGTCCGGTCAAAACGTGATGCAGAAGGACAAATGGCTGTTCTAACTATCATGCGGAGTCTGACGGCGGCGTTCACGCAGCGCGATCTTCAACATGGACCTTTCATATTTCGATTGACGGATCTCCACCCGAGTAATATCTTCGTGGACGAACAATGTAACATCAAGGCAGTTGTTGATCTTGGATGGAGTTGCTCCTTGCCAATCGAAACGCAGCATCCGCCATTCTGGCTGAGCGGACACGAACTCGATGAGATGGAGGGAGAGAATGTTGCAGACTTTGATCGCACATGCAACGAGTTTCTCGACATATTTGAACAAGAGGACAGATTTGGGGTCCGTGACTCACCACTGGAGCCGGGCCTTTGTACAACAGTGATGAGAACTGCTCTAGAGAAGAAGATGCATTGGTACTGGAGCAGCTTGAACGAGCCGAGAGGCATGTACAATCTGTTCATGGATAACATACAACCAATGTTCGCCCCGTCACATTCAGAAAGGGGGCAAGCAACCCGGTTTCAGCAAACCATTGCGCCATACTGGTCCACTGCTTCTTCCGCCTTTATCGAGGACAAGGTCCGCGATCTGGAAGACTATCTAGAGCGAGTGCGGGCAAAGAAGCAGGAGTATTCTGGGCTGTGCCCGTGACTTTCAAATATTCATTTACTGTCGTTCTCCCTGTGCTTCTCCATGCTGTCCCCGTCCCGAGGATCCGCTCTGGTCTCAAACATTCTTTTGTGTGCTTCGGTAAAGGTATCCTTCGTGTCGACTGTGGCATCGACTTTGGTCATGAGTTGGTGGCCGTCTTGGCCAGACTCGATCTATCGATACGGCAATAAAACAAGGATTACCTCTTTTCCTGGGTAGGGAGATGGCTGACGGGCTCTACCTGAGTTAGGTTTGGAGTTTTGCTGACTGATCGGAAGAAATCAGAAAAGTTGAGAACGACATTGCTTCGTGTCTGAGAGTGGTACGCGATGGGTGTCCATCTGGATCTGGGTCGCTTCCGGCGCTTTCATGAGTCATGCCAGAGGGCGTAGCTTGAACATTGAACTGGACGCAGTCTTCAAGAACACATCATTCCTGGTCAGTCTTCTTTACAACAGCGTCTTACTATCGTCAGCATTGGTTTGGGCCTTGCTTACTATCCTTGCCAGTGAGGCAGCGGATCCATCACTTGTGTCTACACTCCATCACCTAGGCAGCTCCTATCTTCACCGCTGGTGTTCTGGCAGAGCATCGCATCTAAGCCGATTCTTTGCGCAAGATCATTTGTCATCTGTTCCCAGATACACGACAGAGTCTGTCTTTTGACCACGGGGCAAACGGGCCTTAACGCTGGTTCCACAAGGCGCCAACTCTTCTACCGGATGCCGTCTTCATGACTAAGGTCTCTATAAAAGACAAGAACGGTCCTTTCGTTGGGGGTCTCGACGTGACTTTGCAACCTCGCCCGGTGCATAACATGAATGTGTACTCACGGACCACTCTGAGTGCGTGCAACTATCTGCCGTTCTGATTCTTGCTGGAGCGACAACACGCTCTTGCCTGACCTAACCATATACATCGAGCCTCCTGCAGTTGTCAACGGCGCATTCAGGAACAGATTCAGAAGCCCACCGTACATCTACAGACTAAAGATACCGGCCGACCATCCATGTATTGTTCTTCACTGGGAATCGGAGTGGGTGGACAGGCCGATCTTTCTGGATATTGACGAAGGACTCGGTATTGCTCTCGATAAGGACTTTCTATGCAAGCCAGCCTGGCGATACCTGAACACCCTTGGCCAAGCCTTAGAGTCTCCGAAGACGATGAAGTGGGAGGAACTCGACAGCTTGTTGGCAGCCGCGTCTCCATTCAATTATCATCCGCCAGATCAGCTAACCTTCCACGGAGGCTCACCACGCACTAGAGCGTATACATTTGATGGAGGTCAAATTTGAGAGGACTTACTCTGATTTGACGCGCCGGGTATCATCGGAGAAGTGGGCCGACATCCGAAAACACTCCGAGAATGCGAGAGATAAGAGCAAGGGACAAGGCTCTACAAGAGATCGCGAAAGATCAAGCAAAGGGACGGATGCCCAAGGCGGCGCCGAAAGAGGGAGAATGTGGCAACCTAAATAAACGAAGAAAACCTGTATGGAACTGGAACACTAAGCTGGAGACCAGAAGGGCAAAGCCCGGGACAGTGCCGAGGAGAACAACGATAAACACAGCGGATCCCATCCCATTCTGACATGACAGCAACACAGAAGGGACAGGCCCAAAGCCAAGGTTGCCGCCGAGGACGGAGGATTCATTGAGATCGCGACGACTTTCTGTCTCCAGAGCCCAAGAGAAACGACCACGTTGAATGCGTTAGACCATAGCCTATGGCCACCGTCACGACCACACAGAGCTCGTACCGCCGTCGATACGGACACCGGGATGAGGAGCCCTGCCTTTGACGACACGCCCGTACTTCTCGACCACAGACCAGCCGAGCGCGACTCACGGCTGATCCATCCTCTGGAAGGCTCAGTTGCCTGTACTATGGCGACGATTCCAACACCAACACCAAAGACCCCGACGGCTACAGATATGACCAGAAATACCTGTGTTCTGCCCGCATGAGGGACGCGCATCGATCACCAGATAATTAGGAGACGGTGAACAGCCAGCAAGTACGTGTGCGAAGCTAGGTTCTGGGACCTGTCATCGCGGACTAGGCCTCCTTACCTGATTGGTGGCCCTGCTCGTTGTGAAAGGGAAAAGCTGTCGTCTGGGTCGGGCCCACGAGCTTCAAGAGACAAAACCAAAAACAACAGGGCACTCTCTGGTAGCTTGGGAGTTTCGGAATGGATTGCTGCAGCTCACTGGCGCTTTGCGTGTCGAGCGAGCATGAAATAATGCCGTTGCTGCCAAGGTCACGATTCGTTCGGACCAAGGACAGCCAGCGATACAGGGTGTAGGATGGCCAGTCCGCCCAGGTCGAGCACATCTCGAATAGGTCGTCCAATACCGTCGCACAAAGCGAGAAGAAAAGGGGGAAGAAGAAGAGAGATGAGGAGAGATGGAAGGGAAGTCACTGCTTCAAATAATCACGGTGCGACGAGTGTTCTACGACAATCCGCGGGAGAATGAAGATTGATGAAGGTTGCCATGGCCTTGACGAAATTCAAAACCGGCTTCAATGCCGGAGGCTTCCGTTTCCAGGAGCGCGATGTTTTGCTTCGAGCGCCGGTGTTGGTGCATCTTGGCACCACGTATATGCTGGAAGTCTATGCAGCAGCGGCTATTGGGGATCGATGACTTCGCATGCTGCAGCTTGAGAGATCGAGCTTGTCGCCCAGGTGCTCCAGAAAGTTGAGACATCTGGTACAGTTCGTGTGGGAACGTGTCCTGTCCCAATGATGCAGCAGCACGTCATCGAGTGAAGAGAAGCCACGCCAACCAGGCTCAAGCGGATGAGATTCTGTTGGTTGGTTAGCAGGTAACGACACTCATCGACCCGCATGGATACGGCTGGATGGCCGTAGAGCCATGGCGACAGAGGCGCAATGACACTGCAGAGAAGAATGGCTTGAGTCACAGAATGGAGATTGGAGATCAGGTGGGTTGGTGCTGCGGCATAAAGAGTAAACATGGCAAAATAGAGCGATCCAGCAGATTTCACAACGCCCATTGAATGAAGACAAAGTACGAATCCCGTTCCATGAATTGCGAAATCTAGGCGGCAGATGACCCAGTGTTACATTCAAATCCAATGTTGCTACTCATTGCCCAATGCCAGGTGACCATAAGATGACTTCCCATTCCTGCTCACGCGACCTTGTGTCGTGTCATTATCGTCACACCCAACCACGCAGTGGGAGAGTCGGAAACCACACCACACCCCACGCCCCCAGTTGGTTGTGATCGACTAGAAGTTAGATTGCCCACCACCACCGTAGCAACCAGCTGAGAAGCTCGACAGAAATCAATGTTGAAACAAGCACGAATGGCGTCCGCCGCTTCATTCCAGAGACTCTGCTGGATGAGGTGCTTAAAGTCGTACGAACCCGCGCTGATCACGTCTGGTATTTGTTAAGCTGACAACCGTGGCCTGCGAGCATCTTGCACATCCTCAGAAGGCTGCATCGACGCTTTCCTCCTCTTGCGGCTTCGGTCTTTGGCGCCCGTTAGCTCCAACGCCACGAAGATCACCGTCAAGGTGGGATCCTGCCTCCAAAACAGCGGGCGTCTTGCTCAATGATGATTCGACAGATATCGAGGGTCGGGGCCCAGTCAACACGATAGCCTCGCGGGTGCCGCCATGCAGAGCAGCAGCTTCCTTCGAGGATGGCTTTGTAGGCTTTGGAAAATCCGTCATCGGGTTTTTGCGAAGGTTTGTCGTTGCCGATCCGGTTCCTCGTGCGCGGAGGGTTGAATTGTTTAATAGTCGTTACCATCTCTTCTCCGGACCAGGAGAGAAGGAGTTGTCAAGAATCTGCACTCCGGGGCGGGAATCATACATTGCAGACATCTTAAGGCATGTATCGCACTGCGCTCTCCAATTATTGAATTCCAAGTACGAAGGAGTATCTCAACAGGTCACTTGGTTGGTTGACAGCGAGGTCATTGCCCAGGTAGTGACCGACCCTGACGCGTCGCTTGCCCCACGCGCGCGTCCCCACGTGATTGTATGAAGGCTTGGCTTTAGCCTTCCACCTCAGTAAAGCGAAATCCTTGGTATTTCTTGGCGCGAACGGACTATACTTTGTCCGCTCCGGAACGATGGCCGGCCAGGTGCAACCTCACCACCACCACTCCCGCATGTATCTTTTTTTTGTTCCGAAGGACAGGGATTGGCGCCACTAACATCGAAGGCGCACGGTATCCCCCGACGGGGCGCTGACGAACTGTGCTGAGTATGTGAATGCCTCCGTGATATCCATGCAGAGCTAACACTGTTGCCATGTGTCAGAGAATCGAGACAAACCCCCGAGTCGATCGATGAAGATTTCGAGTGCATATGGGAACAATAGGACGAGAAGCAGCTCTCGAAGTAGGTCATATTAGTCTGCGGCAAGGCGAACGCTGGTCAGAGACTCTGAGGCTGCAGGGCCATTGGCAACTCGGCTTCGGGACTCTATACCACTCGGGCGGGCACTCTACGTCAAACATGAGCCGGATATGTGTTCAATTTGTCCACATGTAAGGAGAAAGGCCCAGCACCGTCTTCATGAGAGTGTATGCAAGGGGGCCTTTGCGTTCCGCTCGCGACTTACTCGACTCATTGAACACTGGCTCGTGACTGGCTACCAAGGGATGTCCTCCCACTTCACCCGTTGGCTACCCTTCGAAGCTGCCTCTGTGGGTGCTTTTGCGACTCGGCAAAGGTGAAGACAGAGAAAACAGAAAACAAGGACGAACCCCGGTGAGGAGAAGCCTCCCTACGAGTGGAGATGGTTACCTCTGTAGATATGTTTATGAACCGACAAAAGGTCAAAGGCAGAGAAACAAAGATAAGTCTTCATTCCTACTTTTGTCGAAAGCTACCTCTTTAGATAGTTTTGTATCTTGACAAAACGGGTTTGATTTCCGCGCCTTTAGCTAGAATAGACACATAGTCACCTCTTTGGGAATAATTGTAACTCGGCGAAAAAAGTTTGATTCCCACGACTTTACCCAAAATGGAGAGATAGTTACCTCTTTAGGTATAATTGTGACTCAGCAAAAAGATTTTGATTCCCCACTCCCCTTGATTGAACAAAATATTCGAGACAGAGAAACGGCACGACTTCATTCCTACCGAGTGGCCATAGCTACCCGTTGACAGAGCGTTTAGTCCTCAACCTCCAAGAGGCGTCGAGCATGTAGCTGTGGGCAAATCCGGCATCTCACGAGTAAATACGCTTCGTTTTCCCCGCGATACTCTGCAAATCTTGGCACTTCTTGCCGAACTTTGGCCGCCAATCCGTCCAACATTGGCTCCCATGTCTGTAGTCGGCTCTTGGCTTAGTCACGCCATCAATGCCTGCGCTAGGGGGTCCTGCAGACTGTTAGCAATGAGCGCAACCAGCTGACCCAGCGCCACGTGGTGAGATGCTGTCGATTATCGCGGCTCCCAGTTCCGACGTCCAACCGGTCGTCGATTCCACTTCGCGCTGTGGGCCTAAAATCGGTCGGCTTGATGGATCATCATCCGCTGAGGCTGAGTGAGTAATGAGGGTCGAAGAGAAAGAGCATCAACCTCTGGAGACTGTGCGGGCGCTGTAATGATTGCTGCTATCCCTCTAATGGCGAGACGGCTTTGTTCTCAAACTCCGATAGGCCAGTGTCCAGAGTCGGTACATACCGTCCCCGTGCTTCTCGAGGCTGAGCTCGATATTTCCCGTTAGCTCCAGGAGCTGACATCGGGTAGGATCCTGCGATGGTTGTCGGATGACCCGTATGACTGATTCATAGACCGCGAACCTCATGACAGAGGCCAGGTCTAAGTCCGCGAAGATTTCTTGTATGCAACGCGGTCCCAGGTTGTTCCAACGTGGCCATTTGGGTTTGCCGCAAAGTCAATCGAAGGGACAATGCGGTTCGAACAGAGTCTCCTGCCTTTATTGGCAGGGGCGCATCTCGTGTCTTGAGCATAGTCGCTGACTCTCAGGTGTCGAAAGGTGTGGATGTGACAGGCATCGAGGTACTCGGGGATATATGTCGGGCAATTCGGATACCCCAAAAGCGATGCTCTTCTTGAAGAGGTAAGAACACCGTGATTTATAATCATCCGTGCGATAATGATACCCCGAAGACGATCCCATCTTATTCTGAAGTACCGGAAGAGTAATAATGGACATCTCCCGTTCCAAGGAGCTCAATGGCGAAGTAGCTGACCCAACAAATGGTCGGTCGCCAGCTCTTGGCTCGCCCGTAAGTGTGAATTTGCGAGCATCGGTGGCCGCCGCGTCTTCGATCCCCCCGATGAAAGTCTGTCGTTTCTCTCGTAGCTTCTGTAAGGTCTTCCGAAGCTGAAGAGCGAGTCGGTCACACCTCAGACTAGAGGCTGACCCTCGACGAATTCAAGAATGACAACATAGGATCCATCCGGGAAGATAAAGTCCCCATATACTTTGGGCACCGGAATGGTCGTTTCCTGGCGGACAAAGCGCAGAGCGTCCGCCTCGTAGCCTCTGGCGTCAGGTCCAAGCTTGACGATCACATTTTCCCAGCGAAAAACCTTGCGGCACACGCCCATCAACGAATACAGTGTCGGCAAGATCGAATAGCCGTTGAAAGATTTTTAATAAGTTCTGATCAGAGCGTACCAGCAGCATGGTGTCCACGCGACGGATACATTAGCCGGCAAAAGAGGGTTCTTGTGATGGAAGCGACAGAGCGCGTCGGTAACCTGCCGAGCAGCCTGTAGCAGGTAACAACGGCCCAGAGGTATATGTTAAAACAAGGTTTGGCCATATCATTCCTTGGCATGTTTGACAGCTTTTAACCGGATGAAGGTTAACCCGAACAGGATCTCGGGTGTAATACACAGCAAAGGACAGCCCGGCTGATCAACCAGAGGAACTGATTACCTTGTGAGTTGCTGAGCAGCGCCATCTGGACGTATCAGAAGGACATGTTCTCGACTGCGAACCGATTCTGAGTTCTTTCCAGGGAATGAATGAATGAATGAATGTACCACGGCGCGATATGCGCTCGAATCGATGGATTGTAGTACCAAGGACTGTCGAACAAGGTTGCTAGAGACTTGATTGACAGCGAGATCATACCACAGTAGAGGCAAACACTACGCCACCAAGTGTGTAATCGTGACAGAATTGACTATACTGTGGAATGAATCAAAGGTATTTGTCATTGTCATGCCACGGACATGAGATCTCGATACATGGTGCCGCATGGGACATCTCCATAAATCGATTAGATCTGTGGCTGTGATGGTTCCGTGGCATGTTTGCCCGATCCCTTGACCCGATGTGACCGAGGGCTCACTCACTCCCTCCCTCCCTCAGACCTTGACAACTTCCAGCCCAATCCCAGTCTTCGCAACGACGGCTGGATCAACCTGCGACGACAACTTGTTCACATCCTTGGCGGTCGTCTTCTCCTCGTCCTCGTCATCATCGACCCCCGTCCCCGCGTCGAGAGCGGCAGCGGCAGCACGTTTCCTTTGATCACGCTTCTCGAGCACGCGAATGACAAAGGCCAGCACGATCAGCGCACAGCCCAGACACGACGACGCGATAAACGCCGCGTGGAACTTGGGCGCCAGCACGGTCCGCCACACGGTCAAGGTCCACCAGATGCCCATGATGTAGCTGAACATGTTGGACGTGGCAATGACAAAGCCGCGGAACTCGTGGTCGTGCGGGATCAGGCTGGAGAACCAGGAAAAGTAGATGCCCGGCACGCCCATGGCCGTAAAGCACAGGTAGTAGCTGGTGAATTTGGCGCTGTCGGGCACGTCCCACACGGCGATGATGATGGAGCCGATCAAGCAGGGGACCTGGAGCAGCAGCAGCGACTGCCACCGCCGGCCCTGGAAGAGGGGCGAGTCCGAGAGCATACCGGCCACGACTTGCGAAACGGCGGCGACGGCGAACTGGCCGGTCGTCCAGACGTTGATTTCGTAAACGGTGTGATTGGTCGACTTCAGCCAAAGGGCAAATGCCGGCTGCTGCACGGGGAAGCCGGTCTGGACAAAGAAATAGCCCAGCGGGAGAAGCCAGAACTGCCACTGCTTGGCCAGCTTGAAGATCTTGGTGCGGTTCCAGGCTGAGGCGCCCAGCGGTTTCATGCCCTCGTTGAGCATCCTCGCCCGCGCCAGTTCCCGCTCACGCTCCGTCAGGTAGATGGCCCGTGTCGTCTCGGGGAAGTCTGGGAATAACACGTACCCGATCAGCGCGATGGGGAGACTGACGACACCGCAGATGATAAACAGCCATTGCCAACCCGAATGGCCGAGCCTGCCGTTCAAGCCCTTGTACGCGCCGGCTTGTAGGTACCCGCTAAACATGGCAGCAATGGGTGCGGTGGCATAGAAGATGGTCATGCGTTTGGCGAGTTCGCGTTTGGTGTACCAAGACCCGATGATGTAGACGACGCTCGGAAAGTAGGTGCCTTCGCAGACGGCAAGGAGAAAGCGCAGGCCATACATCTGCGAAGTCGTCGTGACGGCCGACATACAGAACGTAAAGACGGTCCACAAGAGTTCCATGGTGGGAAGCAGGATCGACGGCCGCACATGTCGGGCAAGTATAACGGCAGGGAGCTGACCCAGGACATAGCCGGCGGTGAAGACATTGGAGGCATACGTCAACTCACTGCCGTCCATGTGGAGCGCTTCCTTCATGCCAGACACATAGGCGTTGTTGATATTGGCTTGATCAAGACTCTTACTGAAATAGCCAAGGCAGGATATGGAGAGGAGGCATAGGTCAAGCTTGAGAAGGAACCACTTTTCTTCCTTGGACTTGCCGGGATCATCCCAGACATAGCGGAGGACCGAGCGCCAAGGGCGGGACTTGGTATGTTTGGTGGCTGCATCTGCATCTGCTTCGTCCGAAGTGGTCAGGATTGACTTTGTGACGAAAACGGTAGCGCCGGGCCCTTGATTAGGCTTTGGGTCTGCCGTCAGGGACTCAGCCTTGTTGGCCATATCGCTTCTGTCGGGAGGCTTCGACGTCACAGTATCAGGAATGATTTCAGACTGAACACGATCACCTTCTCAGTGATATCGACCTGCCAGCGAACAAGACTGCCAAAGAAATGTGTCCCTCCTGAAATGTCGCACATTGATTGTGTTAATATACTCGCCTTCGCTGTACGTTGAATGGCGACATTTCCCTTTTTTTGTCACCATCAATGCAGTTAGACCGAAACAAACAAGACTCGACCGTTTTATTCGGCCAAACCACGGCGCACTACGTAACTGCGTTGGACTCGGCACCGATGCCGGAATCTGCCGACATGGGCTTCTGATAGCCGCCGTCGTTACGACTCGTACACACCCATGCAGCCGGCAGGGCACTCACGTGCCTCGCTCACTATCGTCCCAATCCTAGCACGTGCGAAGATACTCAATTAACCCTCAACAGGAAAGAAGAGGGCTTGGTGTGGTATAACAGCCAATGAAAGTAGCGGTCGCTGGTGGTGGGTCCAGTGGTGCCAATGATGGCGACATATGGCGACATCTGACGGCTGGATAACGACTAACCTGCGACCACAGGATGAGGCTTTGTAGATTTGCGGAGTTGTACGTGCTGTGCAATTGTATTACTGCAAATTGACCGCCGTGCGCATAGTCGGAAGAGAAAGACTCGCGCTCGCCATGGGGCCATCACCGCATCGCGTAGCGAACACGGACGGCCAAACGGACGACCGGGCGGACGATGATAAAGGTTCTAGACGCCATGCTTGTCGCGACATTGCAATACTGATGGCGTGCTGACACCAGCATAGGGAGTGCCTTGGCATCGCAACAGTGACGGCCAACCCATGACAGTCACAGGCATGACACGCTCGACGACGCGCTCATCGAGCCTTTCTCGCAATGCAAGAGGTTTGACACAGAGAGTCACTTCTCAAGACGAGGAACCACTAGACACCCGCAAGGAGGCGACCAACTGCTCAACCCACGAAGAAACAGCCTTGCGCGCGAACAGCACATGAAGCGACCGACAGAGACCAACCGTGTCGCCGTGATTGGTGCCGGCATCAGTGGCGTTGCGACGGCTGCGCACCTCCTCAAACATGGCCTCGAGGTGACGGTGTTTGAGCGATCCAGCACCTCGGGGGGCGTGTGGCACTTTGACGAACGAAGCGCACCCGATCCACCATTTCCCAACCTCAAACCGTCCGATGGAGACTCTGTGTTTGGGCCGCAATCGACAGACGTGGCAGCGACATCAGAAGAGGAGGACCAGGGACACAATGCAGCGCTGGGGGAAATCTCGCACGCCCCGCCAGGGCCCTGTTATGCCGGGTTGATGAATAACATCCCCATTCCGCTGATGCAGACGTCGCTGATGAGCTATCCTGCGGGCACGACGGACCACCTGTCGCATGACGTCGTGGAGCGTTATATCCATGACATCTCGCGAGCCACAGGCGCGGACAAGGTCATCCAGTACAACATCCGGGTTCTCGATGTGCGGAAGCAAGGGTCCTCGTGGGTTCTCCAGACAACTGCGCTGCGGAAAGAGCCTGATCGTCTGAAGTTCACCGGCGCGACTTACAACTTTGACGCTGTCGTGATTGCGTCGGGTCATTACAGCATGCCGCGCGTGCCAGATATTCCTGGTCTGAGCACCTGGAAGCGTCTGTGGCCTGATCGGGTGTGGCATTCGAAGAGATACCGGCAACCTGCTGCGTTCAAGGACAAGACGATCCTGCTGATCGGGGCGGGGGTATCGTCGTCGGATATTGCAAAGGAGGCTGCTCCTATCGCGAAGATTTATCAGAGCTCGAGAGGTCAGTAACAGGGGACTTCCGGTGGCTAGCACCGATGTTGTGGTTTGTTCGCTAATTGCGTCTTCAACCACCAGGCGGAGTCCTCGATCTCCCCACCAGTTTCCTCCCGGAGGGGACACTTCGAATCGGGGGGATCCAATCCTTCGAACTCCCTCCTGCAGACTTTCAGCCATCACAAGAAGGGCCGATCCCGCTGGCTGTAACATTGACCGACGGCACACGCCTGCAAGACATCGACATTGTGGTTGCTGCCACGGGATACATCACATCGTATCCGTTCCTGCGGCATCTGCACTCGGACACGACCGCTGCGGCCAACGCGAGCCGCGAAATGCTGGTAACTGCCGAGGGGGACATGGTACACAATCTCTGGCAGGACATATTCTACATCCCTGACCCCACGATGGCGTTTGTGGGCACGCCCCTGCAAGTCACGACGTTTTGCCTCTTCGACTTCCAAGCGCAGGTAGTCGCCCGCGTCTTTGCGGGCAAAGCGTATCTGCCGGCGCAGGACGTGATGCGGAAGGAATACGAGGATCGCCTCGCGCAGAGACGGACGGGCCGGGACTTCCACAGCCTCAGAAAGCGAGGCGCCGAGCAGGATTACGTTGCGAGGTTGGTCGAGTGGATGAACAAGGACGCAGCCGTAACGGGGACGGAGCACATGCGCGGACACAGGCAGGAGTGGATTGCGGCGTACGAGTCGATGCAGGAGAAGTTTGCCTTCCTGCAGGTGACGGAGGACAAGCCACAGGGAGAATCAGGGGCATGGACACAGACATTGTCGCCAGTATCACAGGCACAGATATTATCTGTTTCATAAGGCGGCCTCAGCAGGCATCGAATGGATGACATTGCATTAGAAATGACTCACCTCGAAAGGTTGAGGTTCTGTACATGCGGAAAGTGTGTTCATGAGTTGATAAGCTAACGGAGCCAGGAGTGGTCAAAATAACATGGCCGCTCACTGTGGTGACCGGCTAAGTTTCCCTAACAAAATGGCTAGCCCCAGTGCCGATGAATGTATGACTAAGGCGTTGGGTGGTGCCAAGCCTTGGCTGTCATGCCTGGGCTGATTAAGTCCCAAATAGCACGTGATAAGGCCAAGCAATACTAAATAAGGATGGCACGTGTTTGTGCCAAGATACCAGTGCTCCAATGTCACGTGCTAGTGCCAAGGCACCAGGTCCGTAACAAGCCCGCCTGAATCTCTGGAGCCAGACCCAAAATGGTCTCGGTAGATTACTCCATCACGGACGCCAGAAGTTCCAATGGATTTGACTGGTTCCGAACGAACCTCGGGTTGCAAACATGCCATCGGCGGCCTTGGTTGAACCGCACACTTGTCCTGAATACCTACACACACACACACACAAGGCGGACTGGCGCGCAGATGGCGTGAATGCTTTTTTGTGACCTCGAAGCCCAATGCGGGCTTGGAGAGACGCCATTATGTGCCAGATGTCATCATCGGCGTCCGTCCGGCCATGAAACGGACCAAACATGACTCCAACTGTTAAGCCGTCCGCTCGGCGCCGAGACATAAGCATCGTATATGTGGTGATGGTATTCAGATACCAAGATGCCAGTTGTATATAACTTGGCTGGTGTCTGCTTTGGTTTGCTTCGATCCAGAACCATCCAGACAGTCAACGCGCCTGATCGTAGGAAGGATTGGCGACAAGACTAGCATTAACACTACCAGTACTTAGCACCAGCACAAGCACAAGCAACAGTGGTACCAGCAATGGCCCCCGCCGCGATAACCCTGTTTCCGGAGATTCGCGATGTCGTGGCCCCCCGGAAAGACACGCTCGGCCTGCCCGAAGCAGCCGTGAAGCGATTGACCAAGGCAGGCATCGACCTATCGCAAGGCTACCCCTACCGCCCAGCGGCGCCCTTGTACTTGGACGACGTGTACAAGATCCGATCCGAGCCGTGGGACCACATCGAGTCCGGCGTGAGAGCCGACAGGTCCAAAAAGGCCCTGTTCTCCGCCGCGTCCAAGGTCACCGACTTCACGGCGTACGTGGGCACGCAGGTCGACGGGCTGCAGCTCAAGGACCTGACGCCGGAGCAAAAGGACGAGTTGGGCTTGTTGATTGCCGAGCGCGGCGTCGTCGTGTTCCCGAACCAGGACCTGTCGCCTCAGGAACAGCTCAAGCTCGGGGAGTGGTATGGGAAGATCGAGATTCACGTACGTGACGCAAGGCCCGGCGGTGGATTCCCGCTTCCCTTTCCTCCCTCGTTAACACAAGCCCAATGCAATAAGCTGCTGCTAACAAGGGAGGGTTCTTCAGCCACAAGCTCCTATCGTGCCGGGACTGCCTGGCGTCACGGTCCTGTGGCCTGACCTGCAGGCCACGGAACGGTCCGTGACATATCGAAATCCCGGTGGCGCCGCTGCGTGGCACACGGACCTCGTTCACGAGCCGCAGCCCGCGAGCGTGACACACTTGCACAACGACGTCGTTCCGACCGTCGGCGGGGACACGCTGTTCGCCAGCGGGTATGCCGCGTACGAGAAGCTGTCGCCCGCGTTCCGCAAGATCATCGACGGCAGATCGCCGTGTACCGCTCCGGTCATGCGTACCTGGACCGAAAGAACCCGACCGCGGGACCCAAGTACGTGGAACGCGTCCACCCGCTGGTCCGTGTCCACCCGGCCACCGGTTGGAAAGCCCTGTGGGTGAACCGGCAGATGACGCTGCGCATCGTGGGACTGGATCCGGGAGAGAGCGACGCCATCCTCAACTGCCTGTACCACGTGTACGAGACCAACGTTGACATCCAGGCCCGTATCAAATGGACTGCCGGCACGAGCGTGCTCTGGGATAACAGGTACTGTCTCCCTTTGAGGATTGACGGGGAAATCATTGCGCTGACGATCGACTGACAGAATCATGATCCACAACGCAAGCTGGGACTATGCAGGAAGAGAGCCGCGCCATGGCACCCGTGTGACTTCGTTGGGCGAGAAGCCGTACTTTGACCCGGATGCCCCGACACGAAGACAGGCGCTGGGACAGCTGGGACCCGACGAGTTGGAAGAGGATGGTCTCGTTGCGTGAAGAAACGTGTTTATTTGGTGCTGCTGACGTGTGTGGTGTCATGGTACGGTATGTTCTGGGCTCATCCGAGTGACGTGAATGATGCAGGAAGCAATTTGCCGTTCGTGGACTAAGCTATGCGGACGCTTTGAGCGAATACTGCTCAAGTGGTTGACATGGTTCCGGATCGTGGATGAATAGTGTTGCAATCGGAGCAGAAGCTATCACGCTAAGTATAGTGCTTGGATCGACGAATCATAGAATGAACGACTCTCTGGAAGGGTACTTGGTCAACAACGAGATCGTGCATATGCAGTGACTTGGTCGTATCGCGTATTGACGCCCACGCCGAGAGATATGGCATGGAAAAATGGACCGTCATCGTGAGAAGTTCAAAGACATAGGAAAGGTAGAGGGCCAGAATTTCATTGACTCGACTGTTTCACTGTCGTTTGTATTGCGTTGGGCCATTTCTGAGTAGACAGGAGGGCGAGAAAGTGACGGAGTCTCACACTCAAAACTCCTGACAAGATCCGCAACCAGGAGAGAATGCAGGACAGACGGACAGAGTGGCTGACATTGTCCAACAGATGTTTCGAATATCTCCAGAAGGAATCCTTTTCCCATCGGCTGGTGGTGCTACAAGGCCGACAAATAGCTCCGTCAGCATGGGTCCCAAGCATGTCCTGGATCCCGGTGAAGAGCTTAAGAGTGACGCTGTCGCGCACGCTGCTGAACGAACAACCCATAGCTGCTTCCTTATAATTTTCGAAAAGAGCAGCTCCGGCATGCTGGAGTGGTTCCATTGAAAGGTCTGTTTTGTTTGGTGATGAGTAGATTGCCGCCGGTAGCTTGGGTAGAATGGAGGCGGCGCGGCAGACTTGGCCGTATCTTCGGGGTAATATCGTAGTAATCCCTCACTTCGTCCCGTCCCGTTTCTCTTATTATTTGTGGGAAAATAATTTGAGATTGTGCGAGAGTTGCAGCACAAGGCGCATGTCCTCAGGTCGCAACAGGCTCAGGTTCCTGGACAGTGTCTTCGGCCGTTCAAATCAGTTCCCGAGGCGAGATTCGTCGCTGCCGTAAACAAGGTTCTTGGATTTGGAGGTGTAGTTGTAGCATATTTTCGGCGACGGCAAGTCTCCAGTCGGAGTTTTGTCTGCGGCAAGATCAATCTGCTGGTTTCATCGTCTGATCTTCCTTGATCCCGGGTATACAAGCGCGCGAGACTCGTCATATGCTAACCACATTGGTGTTGAGCCCTGGTGAGAGTGATGGTCTGGTCGAATATGAACACGCCACCTGATGTAAGCTCGCGAAAGCCGTCGTTGTGGCATGAGATGTGACGCGGAAGCCGGCCGTGAGGTGGAGCAGGAGTACGTCGTGCACTCGTGTCGGTCACATCACTTCTCGATTCGGAAATACAACTAGAGTCGCCAGGTACATCGGATTCTTCTTAACCAACAGTTGGCAGGAAAAACTCCTGTCTTGGTTGAAGCTGCGGATGAAGAGCCCCTGGGACAGTGGGAGAGTGAGACAAGAACGGCGTAATGACCGGGATCGGATATGGACGGCCAGGCTATCATGTCACAGCGGCGACGACCCTGCTCTCTAGGCCTGACTGCGGTCTTCCCAGATCCCGCGTATTGATGACGCCGGAGCCCTTGCTGATCTATCAACGTCGAGCGCAAGATATTCCTCGCCAACCGAAGGGACATGGTGCCGCCCTTCTGCGCCGACCGAAAACAGAAGCCCTGTCGAACAAGGAGACGCTTTCAGCTCACCGCAAACGGTGTACTGTGAACGGCACGAAGACATGCTCATCGGACCCCAGCAAAGTCTGCGAATTTGCACAGTCTAGATTTGTCCGACGCGTCGACCGATACATTAATTGTTCCTCCCTGCTGCTGCTGCTGCTGCAATTGTGTCGTCGTCGTCTTCTTCTTCTTCTTTGTCTTTGTCTTTGGGTTCACTAATCGGCGGGATCCGAAAGAAAAGGTGCAAGGAGACATTGTTTTGCAAACGGGCTTCTTGTGCTGCATGGGGTATTTGTTCCAGATCAGCCGAGATGCAGTGTATTGTCCCTCCAGATCCATCACAGTCATACACTAGCCTCTTGTAGGCAACAGGCCTTCCTTGGTAAACCCCCAGACAGATAAACACCCCGTGAATACATATCATGATACCCAAAGGTCTCCCAGTCAATGCAATTGCATGACCCTGACCCCCGCCCCCTTTGCTTCTCATCACTGGTTACGGCCCTGAAGAAAGGGTTGAGCGAGTGAACAAGGTTACTCACGAGCAGCGGGTGGTGGCTGTGGTGGCGGCTTCGTGTGTGCCGCCGCCCTCTGCAATCAGCAGCTGTGGTTCCACAGCCACAGGCTCATGAAGGCCCAGGCATGCGGTCTCCAAGGGTCTGAACTCATTGGTATTCCCGGACTCGCTCGTGCCATTGCCGTCCCAGAGGTTATTCGGGAGGATGTCCTCCATGGTGGCCGGCAACGCAAACCCCGGACCACCCACGCTCGGCACGCTGTGTTGGGCGAAATCCGACGTTTCTGATCCGCGAATCTCTGTAGCTGTGGCCGGAAGCACCACAGATTTAGGCAATGGTCGCAGGGACGTCGCTGTGCTGGTTCCTCCCCATGCCTCGAGCAGCGTGGCCAACAGAAGAAGCATTTAGAAACGAGGGTGGCGATCTGAGTGGCACGAATCTGCTCATAACCTGCGCGAGCTCGACCATCAGGACCGCGACAGTACCGTGCTCGCCTGCTGATCGATGCTCAAGTCCCCACACGGTTGTAAGACGTCTTCGCTGAGTTTATGGCCCGGTAAGAACCACGGCGGGCGGGGAAAGCCGGATGAACAGGCCGTCTCATTCACCGTTTTTGGCGTCCAAGATGTATTGCAGAGACCGTGTCGTGATATCGGCTACCGAATACAGAATCACACACCACCACTGCTCGTCGCAGGAGCAGTAAAGTACTGTGGGTGAGGTCAAAGAACAGAGAATCAGGATACACTCTGACTTTCAACTTCCAGTGGCCGATCTTCAGAGTCTGGTAGCTCGGTTTGATCTCGTCGACGACAGCTAGAGAGACGGAGTTCCATGTTGGCAAAACGCAGAACAGCACTGCTGCTTGGATACACAGGTGATCCTAGCGCCTCGCGAAGGTGAGAAGCTAAGGGAAGCGGTCCACTTAACGTCTCTCTGCGCTTCGTGATCCCAGACGATCAGAAGTAGGGTTCCAGAACTATTCTCTTTCATGTAAATCGGGTTGGAATTCAAATTGTTCGCCGCGGCGGGCATTGAGACTGGCTGTGACAGACATGGCAGCGACTGGACGGGGCTGGCTGCTCTGTATCCGCGCCAGTGTATCGATATGTCTCGCTGGTTTTTCGTATGTCTCTTGATGCTTTTCTGCTATAGGATCTTGGACTGACTCTTGGTTTCTTTCTGGCCCATGCTCGTACGCGAGATTCCTTTCTCTTACACGTCTATAGACGAGTTAGACCAGGAACGGAGGATTCGATATGTGTTCGGGCCGTCGCAAATGCTTTACTGCTTATAAAACCAATTAGAAATGGTGCTCACTGGACAACTTGATCCGTCTAGCGTGATCCCGGTCCTTGCCTTTCTTGTGATCGGCCTCAAGACCGAGCTTTTGTGGAGCCGCGAACCTGAATCTGCGTGTCCCTATCCTGTCTTTGTCGGGCGACCAAGGTCCGCAGGCTTGAGCTATTGCAGCGTAGTGGGGAGTCGGTACAGGAACTTCGTCCATCGAGCACTCGAAAAGCTTGAATTGAGCGGTAGATGGCCGAAATTGAAGGAGAAAGAGGCCGGAAAAAGAGTCCGCAAGGAACCTTGGGAAAGAGGAATAAAGGTTTCAATGCCTCATTTGAGCAGGAGGCTCACACCCACTCGTTGCCTTGTGTCCCCCTTGGATTTAGGGGGCTGTCGACGCCTTGCAACCGGTAACGGGCATGCTGTGACCCACACTGGCTCTGTAGCATGGGTTGGAGCCCAGGGTACGATTTCGTGTGAGCGGTGATTGCACCCCGGAGCTTTGCAACTCTAGGGTACGTTTGCCTTCTGAGTGATGAGCGTGGCCTTGGCTTTGTGGCGTGGATTGGCGTCCAGGGTCCGAGACCAAGATAGTTGCAAGGTCGCCGTCAATTGGACGTTCGACGCCGACGCCCTGGTCCTTGTCTTCAGACGTTGCATCGACGTTGCTTTGAGAGTTGATTATGCCGCAGCAGAGCTCGAGTCATAACAGGGTTTGAATAGCATCGTTCCCCACACCCAGCCACTCCGATACAGGGGGAAGGCCGCAGCACTCCAGGCCTCCTCGTGCTTCCCTGTCAAACAAAGCCTGCATCCTAGTAGCTAACCCTGACGGCTAGCGTACATTAGCTTGGTGCCGATAATAAGGAAGCCAGCCGACACGATTGATTCAGCAGAGAGAAAGGAAAGGAAAGTTGTAGTCGACGACCAATATTGACCACGTCATACAACGCCGTCAGCTGTCATTGTATCACATGATGGACTGACTGGACATGCATAATTGTCCCCTCCCCAAGTATCTATTGCCCCCAGTGTCAAGGTGAGTTCTTACATAGCTTGGAGCTCGGCAGGACATTGATCCTCCAAAGGTGGCGCGAGCCATAGACCATGACCCATTACCAACGCGACGAAACACTCTCTTCGGATGCCCTCACCCTTCCGCTTCTCTCGGCTTGCTTGGATCCTCTCCTTCTCTAGAGGCTATTCTGATCTTCACCGTGCCCTCAGTACGTAGTTCGCACGTGGCTAGGAATCAAACAGAGTCCTCGATCTTTCGGGCGAGGGATTCTCACTGGATGCATTGCTAAAACGTTCAAGAGACTTGACAGTCAGGCCAAAGGCCTCGATTCCATTGTCCCGCTCGGCAGCTAGCTTCTAATAGACTCAATAAGACTATTGACAGGTGGTTCAACAAATTTTCGTAACATGCCGTTGTCAGCCCATGTTGAACATCAACCGAGACAGCGTTGGTTTGGCCTCGTTCAGCAGCCATTTGTATTTGCTTGTCTGCACTGAATGGAAGGATGAATGACAGTTGCTCGTGACCATCAGTAACTATAGCTGAGAAGTACCATCCTCTGAACAAAGGCGAGCCTGCAGCGATTTCCCTACACCTGGATCGAGACGATTTTGTATCAGTGATGCTGATGCGCTTGTTGGTGGGGTTGTGGTTTCCTTGTCAGAATAGAGATCTCGCTAAGGTGCGTTGGCGACATCGTGATGCGAATGAAGCAGGGTACTATCGATGGAGTCTCGCTATATTAAGAGTGCTCTCGCGATGCTGATGGGCTCATATGGTGTCGATGACCTTGGTCCTTTCCATTGTGCAAGTATTCAGCACTTGGAAAAGTGGCTCTATTCTAGCGCATCGGCGCTTTGGCAAGTGAGCTGAGGTGCCCAGCATTCAGATTTGTCTTTCCATTTGTCTGAACTCAAAAACCATTGTGATTTCCGTGGTAAATGGTGCATGATCCCGGCGGAGAGGTGCCGCCTGGGGGCTACATTTTGTTATTTTAACGCCAATTTCTTGTGCCTATCCCAGCAATCGACGCCCGCGGGCTTGGTGGCCGAGAATCCGTATCTGCCTATGGTGCGAAAAACCCAAGGTAGGCCGAGTCGTTGTCCTCTGAGAGCCTCCGAAGCCGGTCGGTTAGAGGAATTGCACGACCCGTGGCCGAAGGGCCACTGTGGCAAGATGCAGTTGGTCTGGGGCTGCTGCATTGTATTGGTGAGCTTTGTTCGATTGATTCACAAGAGTAACACGGCAGAGCTGTCGAGCCTGGGCTCTGGCGTATGCCTGTCTGCGTGCCTGCACATGTGGGGGCCAGGGGGACTCGGGGGGCGGCTTGTGGTGAACCTCAATTGGCAACAAAAGGAGACGTGATTCTCAACCCAGGCTGCGGAGTTTCAAAGCGAGTTATGTGGGTGTCACTGAGTCTTCAGCCACGGATTTGTCGAGTTTTTGGATGCTGAAGGGCTTCTAAACAGTCCTGCTCTTCCCTTCGAGACTGTGACGGGCGTTAGACATACCAGTAGCTCCCTTCATATCACCATCTTGCGTTTCCGCAGTCCGTGTCCTTGTGGGGATTTCGAGGCAGAAGGGATGGGAGACTGTATCCGTCAATGAAAGACGCTCGCCAAGGGCGATTATAGCCAAATTTAGAGCGTAAGGAGCAAGACAAGAAGGGCATGTTGTGACCAGTTGAACTACCTGGATCGACACAAGCAAAAGGGGCTAACAAGACACGTTCGTTAAATGGGCACTAGAGCCGTCCAGACCACCGTTAAACCTTCCAGGCACCTCTGGCGGAAGCAGTGTCACCGCCATCATCACAACGGACACGAATAGACGAATCGGATTCAATGTCCCGCGAACTCGCCTGGAGATTTAGACAAAAAGGGGGTGACGGGGGTCCGTGGCCCCTGTGTTACTAGTATTGTTAGCAAAGTCAACCGTTTACCACAATGAGCGGCGACGGTTCTTGTGCCACCCTACCCTGGTGGTACAACGACGTGGGCACCAATATGGTCGGACAGCCGCAAACAGGAGCTTCGTTGCCTCCTAGACTGAGCACCTCAAAACAACCATCGTCTCCCTCTTCCATCCCGTGCAAGTGCTGAGATCTTCCATAGCTGAACCCAAGTCTTGATATGCAACACGTTCTGTGCGGAAAAAGAAAAAAGAAGATTCCAGGCAACAAGCCTATCCTTTTTATCGCACTCTACCCCAGTGGCATCGTGAACAATGAGGAACAAAAGTAATGCGCACAGGCACAGTCCTTCCCCCACCCCTCTTCCTCCAGCCTCAAAAGACTTACTGTTCGCGTTAGGTATCATTGGGCTTTTTTAATCGGACCCAAGAAAGAAAAGTCCGCTCATGTTCCAGGCGTACGCTGTCACGTCAAGAACGTCCCGAGACCCACTCCTCATGGGCGCGCCGTCGAGTGGACGTACGAAGAGTCGAAGTTACATAATGTTCGAACATCCAACAGCCTGCTGATCCGCGTGGTCATTGGGAAAGTCGTCGACATGGAACGCCTTCTCGACACGATTCGAAATGTCCCTCTGGTGCAGAATGATCGGATGTGGAGATGCTGCACCTGGTGCGCTGACGTCCTCGCGGCTCTCGAGAGGGATGGCCAGGCCCTAGGAACGGCAGTGCTCGATTGGAAGCGAATTCAAAAGGTAGCAAGACATTACGCAGGAGCGAAAACAGCTCAGGGTCGCTTTGCTGCTGGAAATTCAATGGACAAGCCGAAGCCGACCTGGGACATGCTGAAGGACAAAGAAACGGTCGCTTAGGGAGGACCGAGACAATTGTTCACTTTGTTATCCTGACATCACTGAAGCGGTGAAAGGAGGGGGATCAGGTTCATAGTTTGACTCTATGAGATCACGCTCATTTCCAGCTCGATTTGTCTCAGCTTGCTCTCTATCTGAAACGGCTCACTCACTAAGAATACTCCCCACCATCTCTGAGGCGTAGTCTCCATCTTCAGCTCGTCGGGGAAGGGCTCAAGGAACGAATCAACATCATCCCGCCAGCTTGTCCTCGCCGCACTACCGAGCCATACCGCGGTATACTCCCAATAATATGGGTACCATCTGGCACATTCCCAGTCGATCAGACCAACCACTCGATATCCACGGGGCATGATGTTGAATGGATTCAGGTCGCCGTGGGTGAATACTGGCGGTGGCCATGACTTGTCCTGGCCAACTATTATTTCTCGAATCTTTTGAAATTCTGGGTTATCTCCTAGCCTTTCTGCTTGTGCGAGGGTAGATCCTTCCCTCAGCCAGTGGTGTAGCTCTTGTATCGTTTTGAATGGACCGAAACGAGGACGAGAGCTGGGATTGAAAGGGTCGCATAATGATCCGCCGGCGCAACTCTTGTATCATGCTCTTCAGCTGGTCAAGGATTCTGCGGCGAAACTCTTCGAATCCGGGCTTCTTGCACACTCTCGCCAGGTTATCCCCCCGAATCCTCTCCATCACGATGTAAGCGCGGTTCTTGTGGAGAAAGAACAATCGATCTTTGGCACCGCAATGCACCGGAATGGATGTATTCTGGGCGACAAATGCGGCTGTTGCCCCTTCGGTCAGGTGAACGGTTGGCCCTGTTTTGTCGGTGTGATTCGAAACAGCAGCCTATCCGGGTGTACAACTTTGCCGTGGTCTTCATCGCGACGAGAGTCATCCAGCGGCGGGAAACAGTGTTATTGATGGCTAATTTCACACTCCCTGCATGTCGATTCTCGTCCAGGGAACTAATGATCCTCAAAGGGCCACCAGTCTCCCTCAATTCCATGACGAGATCAGCTATGCCGAGTCCGCTTCTTTGCTCTTCCGCGTACGATCGACTTCGCAGGGCGATGATTGATTCGCACGATAGGAGGGCTACCTTGAGAGACAAGTCATCGGAGGACGGTCGCGGCGGTCACTGCATGTAAAAATCATATTAGATAATGGTGACGTGTTGACAGACTTCAAAACAGAGGAAGATACACTCTGATGCAGAAGCACGGCCCGCCGCAGGCCGAAGAAGCCTTGGTTGTGACAGCGTGGGAAGTTGTGCCGGTAGGGACAATCTGTTGAGACGACGCTGTCTACGCGTGCAAGTCCCCGCAGTCTGGTATTGCCAGCTCGGTGGGAGGTGCTTCGAGGGTCATGTGACCGTCGTTCCTTGTGCAATGTACAACTAGGGCGCAGGTGCGTTAAATCCAGGCCTGCTTACCTGCCTGCATGCCTGCCTGCGACAACACTTCGTCACTTGTAGACTGTGGATTTGACCGTGCAGCTACTGACATGGATGGCACTGGCCAGTACAAATCCCATTCAACGCGAACCTCGACTGACCAGACCAGACCAGACCAGACCACATTACGCACGCACACGCATGCTTGTGCAGTTACAGGAAGAGAAGGGAGAGGAGGGGGGGGCACAGCCTGATGATAATTCCGAGCGGAGCCAAACAGAACATCTTCTCCCTTTGTTCTTGTTTTCATTCTTGAGACGAAACCGTTTAGAAGATACAGTCAGCGACGCATAGGTGACACGACACGGCAGGAAACTACAAGTACGAGAATTGGGTCACGGTGAGCTCGATCGATGTATTGGGTTTGGGCAGGGCCGGCTATCATCGTCTTTGTCTCGACGACGCCGTTGGAAAATTGAATGGATCGATCGATTTATTGAGTGAGCGGTCACTGTCTTCATCGTTTATTTGCTTGCTTAATTTACTTACTTTATCGGTTACTTACTTAATTTCTTGTCAGCTTAATGCTTAAAAACCTTGATCCTTACTTGATCAAGCTCCGACACAACATTGAGACCCATCTAGAGAGGCTCAATGGAGCCCCGCCTATGCGCACAATACTCCTACCAACGCCAGAAGGCAACCACTGGTCGACGAATGAATCCTGAAGGGAACCATGTGGTCGATGAATGAATCCTGGGCAACCATGTGGTCTACGAATGAATCCTGAGGCAACCATGTGGTCGATGAATGAATCCTGAGGCAACCATGTGGTCGATGAATGAATCCTGAGGCAACCATGTGGTCGACGAATGAATCCTGAGGCAACCGTGTGGTCGATGAATGAATTCTGAGAAGTCACATCGACAACAATCTTCAAGGGGTCCTTCACTCATCAAATTCCTTCAGGTCATCATCGTTCTTATCCTCGGCCCGTTTTTCTCACCGCTCGCAGAACTTCGAAAACATGCCATCTGCGACCTGCATCAGAACGTTGTCGTTGTACCAGCCCATCACCATTGAGTTTTTGTCAGTAATTGACAAGGTAGCAGCCGGATTGACGCCGTGGCAAACCCATATGTCGCTGAATGAGCCTTGCCTTCGATGACGAGGAATGAACATCGAAGTGTCATGTCTGACTCCTGAGTGGGTGTGAAGCAGAGCTCTCTTTCAAGGTTCAGTTGAACAGGTATGCTTTTACGACTGATTCCTCGAGGCCACGCAGAGCTCGTACTTGGCGTATTTCCCAGGGGTGGAAACCCAACACAACGTCTGGGAAAGGAGTGCCAGGGCCCAGAGGGCAGAGCCTTGGGGGCAAAAGGAGCAGCAGGAAGAGGCGCTGTGGCTTCTGAGGCTGCATCGGAGGTTGCGCTGTTTTGTTATATATATATATGAGTGCTGAAGCTGCGAGCGTCGTGGACGCCGCCGCAGTGGTGGGATACGCGACCGAGGCTCGTCGCTGAGTCCGGTATGTTGGCGACTTCTTGTCTTCTCTCGTTAGACTGTGGGCGCGCCCAGATGACTTGTAGCCGCTCCTCAATCTCCAGAGGCGGGAAATAGTTAAGAATGACAAAATCGGCGTCTTTCGGCCTCGCGATACGATTGACCAGGCTTTGAGACCCGGACGACGACGTATGAGCGTGTGAAGAAGCCGAAGACTGGCCCGGCAGAGGCTGTCATCTTGTGGAGCTTTCGGAGATTGCTGCGCGTGAGTGGCGCAGGGCAGGCGAAGCCATCTGGGCGGTCGAGAGAGCACTGCAGCTCTGACGAAGAAGAAGAGGACAAGAAGGACGGAAAGTTCCTCCTTATCAAGACGTCGCGAGACCACTGCCTGGGGAGAGAGAGAGAGTGCGAGGCAGTCGGAGGTATTTATCTTCGCCTTCACTTTCTTCGTCAGTGCCATACCACATAATGAAAAGGCAAGGCAGTTGGAGATGCTTGTCATATCACATAATGGCATGGGCAAAGGCGCTTTGCTGACTCGGTGGCTTTGTTTTCCGTGCTCGGCCACGGACCATTTCGTGAATCGCGACCTCTTTTGGCGAATTCGCCGTCAGCCTGATGGTTGTATCAGTGACATTTGAACAAAGAAACAGTTTGATGGTGAGTTGCCTTTGTTCAAATTTATTCACCCTGCGACGCCGTACTCGGTATCAATCGGCTTACCTGCGGAAGCGGATTCACATAGTGTAAAAATCACAAAATTATACCGTGTGGTTGTGGTGATACGGGCTGGTGACAGGTCAAAAACCTGTCCAAATAATATTTGCAGGACGCTGCGGCGGGCTTCGATGTAGGGGTGCTATACGCCTGTGCAAGCCACCCCAGCACCTCGAGTTTGAGGCGCGCGAACAACCCCAAAGGTGCCCGCTCATAGCGCCCTCAAGCTTGCGAATTCAGTGGTGTTGTGAAACATAACACCACTCTTTGCACAGCACTACACTGCACCACGCTCATCTGATCGAAGCAATGATCATAACGAGAGGTAATGGCTGGTAAACTAGAGGCAGATTGAAAGCGTATCAATGCAAAGTGCAAAGAAGAGAGTACATGCAGGGATGGCTAAAGGTGGGTTGATTTTCAGCGTGGCGACTATTGACGATGGGTACATGTGGTTCAAAAAGCGATAGGGGCGCCATAAGTGCTTGGGAAATCTATTTAGGTGAGGGATTCTACCTCGAAACCTCGTTGAGGGCACCTGGAATGCCAGGACTGGGAGTTGCCTCAACTCACAGCCTGCTATGGTAACCATGGTAGCCGTGCATTCTAGCTGTGGTAGCCTTTGGACGCTGGTCGCCTGGCACGTTTTTCCATTATTCCCTAGGCGCCTTTGGTTCCCCTGGAGTCTCAACTTCTGGGTATTTAGAGCCCCTATAGTTCAACTTTCCAGCTCATCGGTTCCCCCCAGCTCTGCGGGCCCCTGTGCCACCCGAGGGCTGTCATTGCAGGTTATTGGCCACCCTCTCTATTTCCCTCTTCTCATCCATATCTCTATCTCCATCAATATTCTTCCCTTCCTCCCCGTCATCGTGCTACCAGGTATCTCTACAGGCAGGCAGGCAGGCAGGCAGACAGACAGACCGGCAATCTCGACACAAGATCAGAGGGATTGGTCTCGGTGCCTGTCTCGGTATTGATGCTGTTGCTTCCGGCGCTGCGAACGAACAGCGAGACGAGGGCCGTCACGCCAAACGAAAAACGGAACGGCTACGGTATCTTCATCTTCAACAGTAGCCGTAGAGAGGGTTCTACGACAGGGATTCTGCTCTTTGCGGCTGACTACAGAAAAGAGGAGAGAGATGGCACGGAATTGGGGATGTTATTGAAAAATTGACATTGCAGTCTTCCCCAAAGAGCAAGATTCCAGACAAAGAACCCTCGATATCATTGAAGAGGGGCCACATCTACCAAAGGATGGCGGTATCAATGAAGCAGCGACCTCAAAGGCTCCCTCGTCGACAGCGAGGTTATGCCGTGCTGTAAGAACGGAACGGAACGGAACAATGTCGGCGGACATCCAGAAGGCAAAGGAGGGAACGACTTGGAGGACAGTCCGCACAACGACACTAGGCAAAATATTGTACACGTCTTCCAACAAATCCTGAAGACTGACTGACCGATTGACCGCATGGCGGCGTCATCTTGCCCAAACAACTGAAGCGAGTGAACACAAAGTGAAGAAAGAAAAGAAAGCAACGAACGAACCCCATGCGGCATGACACTTCTGTTGGTATACCGTTATCCCGTGCCCAAGTCCTCAACACCGACAATGTTTCTATGTCTTGTATTTTGTGTTCCACCCTTTCTCCCGCTCGAGCCCAAGCCCGAGTCCGGAACGCCAAAGTCGAAGACAGAAAAAAGGAGGAAGCTGAGGGCGGATTGGATGCGTCGCCAGCGCCAGACAAAGGGGTCGCGGGGGATCTGCGGCGACGACTTTGACGTCAAAGGTCGGTCGAACTCAAGGGGTAAAGGCATGCTTTTTCTTCTTCTCGGAGCGTCATCGATTAGCTTTGTGGAGCAGGAAGGAGAACAAAAGGTAACTTACCTTCCGCCCATCCACCCGCGCTGGTCGAACACTAAACGCCAATGTTGAAGGATGGAGAGGGCGTGTCGGCACCGGTGATGTACAGGTTGACCATGGACATCTCTTTGGTGTCGAAGGTGAAAGACCGGTCGCCGTACTCGGCCAACTTGAGAAAGCCGCTGCCGTCATTTCTGACGCACCACGCCTTCAGCATCGCCTCGACCAACTCGCCCACACTGTCCAAGCGGTCTTCTTTGTGCAAGAATTGTACGAGTCCATCGTAGCAGGTCAGGGCGGCCTCACACAGTGTCCGATCATCGCGCTGGTCTTTGAACTTCCGGACCTCCCCCATGACCCAGCCGTGGACTTCGCTTTTCATGTGCCGCAAAGCGTCCTCGCCGTGCACATGGAAAGAATCTGGTTGGCGCAAGATCGCCGGCAACTTATCCACCCGCCCGCCCGTACGGAGCACCCGCATTTGATCACTGTCCAGGCCGGTGGGTTTTGTCGTGCCAATATGCCCAATCTCCATTTTGATATACTCGTGCCAAAATGTATTTCTAAGAGAGGCATATGACAGACCGTTGAAGTCCGGGGTACATTGGTAGTGGACAGTAGGGGTGAACGAGACCTTACGAGCCATGGTAATTTTGTTGGCGCGGCACTGCCTGGAGATATTGAATACTAACCATCGGACGAGATTCGGTCGCGAAGAAAGCACTAATGCACTAAACGATCATGCAACCACTGTAAGCATGGACGAAGGATTGCTTCCTATTCGTCCCCGTGTGAGGTTTATATGTCTGATGGAAGATAGGGCATGTTTCGAATGTTGAATGCACCCATGGCGCAGGAAGGGTGCTTTGACGTGTCGCGAAGACCATTTGCGTTTGCTATGTCTCGAAAGCGACGTGAATTAAACTCTGGGATACTCGACCAGCCATACCTGACATCGCACCCTTTCTCGCGCCTATGGGATGGTCCTCCACGCAGTCCGGAGGTCATAACCCGGGATATCCGATGCGGACCAGCCTGGGAGATCTGGAGGGCTGCTCGGGGAGAATGACCGAACCTGAGAGGAGTTCTGTAGCCACTGGCTGCGAGACCCTACCCGCCACCTGTCAATTGAACTTGTCCATGTGTTGAAATGAGTGTTTCTGGGCAGCCAAAGTACCTGTCAGATAGCGTTCGATTGCCAGCCATGGCGGACAAGTGGAAAAATGCAATGTCTGGTTCACCAACGAGAAGACGGGCCTCGGTCAAGTCCAAGTCCCTGGCAATGTGAGATGGGAAAAGTTGGACAGGAATCTTCAGAAAGTTGGCAAAGGTGGTGGAAGCTAAGGCAGCCGCATGACAACGTGTAATTCCAACAGTGCCAATGTTGACTGCGGCACGTTTCGAAACGCTGTACTTTGTGTTGGTGGTGTGAAGGGGAATCGAAGGTGGCCAAATCAAAGGGTTGGAACTGGACATGGAATGGTGGAGTCTCTAGTCAGGATGTAAAAAGCACCGTTGCCAGGGTCAGCGGCATGGAAGTGATGGGCAAAAGTTCCCTGCCTTGCATGAATCACATTTCTTGCGGCGGTTACTGTCTTAACAACATGCGGCACACTCGGGTCACCCACTTAAGCCCTCTACTAGGAACGACGCTCCAGACCTCTTCTGCCTCTTGTGCTACGCTCTGTTCTGGCACCGCCTCCCCCAAACCCTCACCGCCTATTCTGACCGCCAATCTCAGCGCCTACTCCGCCTCTTTCCCCTCTAAGAGAATCTCCCTCCAAACTGAACCCTCCCCCTCCTCGTCTCACTTGTTCCTAAAATTATTGCCATGTGTTTCTTAGCTCAGGTCTCACTTTCGGCGAGTCTCTCTGCAAATCCCTTTCGCTCGCTTCTGGGGGTCTAACTGAAGTTGATTTCCTTCACCCTGTAAGTTCTGGGGGTCAACTCTACGCTAGGAAGACCTGCCAGAAGCAAGTCTCGTATAAGGGCCTGGCTCTCCATCAGGTGACGCTTTCGACAGTGACAGCTGCACCAACTGCTGCCCCAAAACTTTATGCAAGCATCGAGTTGACCATGCATACAAGGGTCATGGGTCTTCAAACCCACAGGAAGTTGGAAGTTGGAAGTTGGAAGTGTGGAGGTTGCGAGGCAGAAGTTCGGGGGTAAAGCCATTGCCCACCTGGTCGTTTTGTCTCCCTCAACGGCCAGGCTGATCGTAGCCGCGAACCGGATATAAACCTACTTATCCGCCATGTCTCCTCCTCTCACCCTACTTCTGCTTCAACTTCCTCTTCTCTTTCCAGATCTCTTTCGCACTCTCTGGTTCTTTGCTTGACCCGCGGCCCAAATTTCAGTCACGACAACAGGACCTCGTCGTCGAGTCAATCAGGCAGTCCATCGTCGTTGATTTCCTGTCCAGCTGCAACCTGCCCAGCCTCACCATCGACTCGGAGGACAAATCTTATCTCCGCCTACGACACCATTCCAAGTCCTGGGTAACAATACCACCCAAGGCTGACAGGATGAGGTGCCAGACTCTGGCCATCCCAGATTCCAGCTCACCGGATAGTGAAGAGTCTGGTCAAGAGCCCGTGCTGAAGCGTCGACGTATACGAAGACGGGCCAACGAGCCTGCGGCTCTAAGACAACCCCGGAGTTCCTTGAAGGTGCATTCCAAGACCTCCTCGACCACACCTACGACACCCTCTAGGAGACGTAACCCCCTACTCCATCTTCTCCAGGCGGCCGGGGATGATGATGACACCATAGTCATTTCATCGAGAGAGACCACCCCAGGGCCACGGGCGGTGACACCAAGGACCCTCATCGTGTTAAACTTTGAAAAGCCCAACCCGTGCCTCATGGGACTGTGTGACAATTTGCTACGCCAAATCGTTGATCTGGTGTCGTACGACAGCCCTAGGACCGTCCACGCACTCCGGATGTGTTGTCGACGAACGGCCGAGGTGGCTGAGCCGGCGTTTTGTCGAACCCTCATTACCACCTCGGGTGTACCGTCGATAGGGATAGAGAGACTCCTGCAGGCCCGACCAGAACGATGTGCGTACGTCAAGACTGTGGCCGCATACCCCAAATACGCGTCGCCTGCTAAGAGCCTGAAAAAGACGGCCAGGCTTCTTCCTCAGCTCCCCCATCTCGAGGTCTTGCATATCGCTGAGACGTTGTCGATCGGGGATAGAATCAGGCCGAGAGATCCCATGGATGAGAACAACGACGAATTCTTCTCCGTGCTGAGCAATGCGATCACCGACAGCACCTTCGTGAGGCTCAAAGTGTGCACTATCATCTCGGCGGTGGAGCGGCCCGTGTCGATCAAGCGGATCCTCCAAAGCCCGTGTCTCAGCTCCTTGACGGTGTCGTATCCTTACGTCGACCCTCAGGACCGCGACCTTCCACGTCGCAACTCGACGCCTTTGAAGCATCTGACTCTGTTCGTCTCTCCGTTCGCCAACCTGGAAGTCCTCGCATGTATATTGGGCATGCCCACGGCGCTGGAGACTCTGGCCATTGACGACAGTTGCCACAGGTTGCCAGACAGTAGCTTCCGCGGCATTCTGGGCGCGACACTGCCCACCCTGGGCTCCCTGCAACCCGGCCTGAAGACGCTCAAGGTGTATTGTGTCTCGTCGTATCTCTACACCGTGTCTCGACATACGGGAGACCTTGATTTCCGCTCGCTCCAGCAATTGCAGGAACTGAGCTTCTCGAACCACGGGGTCTGCCCGGTCAACTGCTTCATCAACCTCCCTCCTAGGTTGCAGACTCTTCGGTTCAACGGCCCGATCTCTCAAGAGGTCTTTGTTAAGAAACTCTTCGACCTCTCAACGCAGGACCAGCGCTTCTCGTGTCCCCCAAACATCAAGATCGACCTTGATTACCAGCACTATATCGAGCACAATCCCTGGACGTCGTTCGTCATTCACGAGGAGGACGGCGATGCCAGACACATCGTCCGCCAGACCCGTGCACTGAGAAAGTTGACGGACCGATTCACGGACTGCAAACGGGTCGTCGTCACCGAGAGGTGGTCAATTTGGTCACGACGCATGGAGTTTCGCAAAAATGGATGGTTCTGCCTCCAGGACGGGGACCAGACGCTGAACGACAAGGTCGAGGCGCAGGCCCACCAGGCTCCGTGTGCCTACCTCTACCGGCCGACGGTGTTTGGGCGCAACGACCTGACCATCTTCAAGCAGAATTACCTTCGACCGAGACCATGTCAGTGTTGCAATTTTTAGGCCCGTGCGCGTCGCTGTTGGTCAAAGCCAGTCGAGTCGAGGTAGTAGATATGGTAGACATGAAGAGAAGAATAAATGCTTTGCGGTTTCATCCATCCCGTTCCATTTCTATCCCCTTGATCCCACGAATAACTGATTGATTGATTGATCGACTAACTGCCATTCCTACCGTATTTGCGGTATTGTAGAGTGTAGGCTGGAGATTCTGCCGGAACTTTGCTAAACATTTGTTGATTTGGTGTTGATTTCATACTTGTCATTTTACATTTTTGCTATTTTTGTTATCTTGAGCGTGTTTGAATTGGCTTTACACTTGATTTTGTCCTTTGTAAATTTACACTTGTCGATTATTGGGGGTACGGAGGCACTGAGGCTAAGGGGGGGTCCTACAGAGCGTCTGGGCATATCTTTTAAGGGCAAAGAATGGTACCTACAGAGGCGCCTAGGCGCTGTTTGCACTCTTTCTACGAGGTACTCTTTGGCCCTCGAGCCCTTTGCCCGTTTTGCTCATTTTACTTCTTTCGCTGCGTTCTCCCGCTTTTCCGGTTTACCCCCTTTGCTCTCTTTGCTTTGTCCCTTTGCCCTTTGCGCCCTTGGCCCCTTATTCTTCCAATGGCAGTCTGTCTGGCTGTCGATGAACCACGCCGCACCACGCTACACACGCTACACCATGCTATACCACATCACGCCGCAACACACAAGATTGGTTACTAGAATGTGCTATGCTGTACTGTACTGTGCTCCTGCTCGACTGCTGTATTCTGCTCAGCCGATCCCCGCAGCCATGTTTACTTCCTTCCTTGGTTTTCTACTTATTGACTAGGTCTGACTGCTGAGCTGTGAGCACCGAGTCAATTTTCAAGATAGATGGCATCGTCTCGCGCCGTGCTACGCCAGCGCATGATTTCAGGCTGGCAGGAAGGGCAGGGAGGCGAGAAGGCGGATAGACTTGACTCCGGTGTCATGATTCACATATGGCAGCGTGTGTGTGCGGATATGCGACGCGACAAGGGCCGGTCACTCCCTATGGAATGATCTCGCCGTCGACTGCGTAACCTCCTGGGGTCACCCTTTATGCTACAACTGCATCAAGTCATGCGAATCGCGCGATGTTTGTAGGGATAAAGACTAGGGGCACTTGATTCGAGCTGATCAAAAATCCAGATTCAAGAACACTAACGATATCCGACATCATACATACTATACCCCCTTACGTTTTTCCTTCTCTTCGCTTCCGAGACCCCCGAGGTGTATTCCTCCAAATGATACAAAAACCATGAAAGCTAACACGAAAATGCACAGGGAGCAGTGGCAGAGACAACTTGTCGTCCGCGTCCTGCATGTATGCATAAACTCTTCCCTTCTCATTCCCTGCTTTTGTTTCTGAAAGGCCACACCGGGCCTGGCATGGCACGACATGATATCGTTGCAATGTACCGCAGGCACTGCAGAGGGACAGGGCTGAGACCGACACTGAGAGAGTGGAGACGGGGAACCGAAGGGGTTTTTCATTCGAAAGTGTCTATATGAGCTTCCTCTTCGTCAGTTTGTGAGAAAATCCAACAGAGAGGACGAGGACAAGGAGGGGTTGAGGAAAACATACCAATGCTGATGACTTCGGCGGTGTGACCCTCTCCCAAGCCAGGCAAGGACTCGGCGGACGGCTTGTTCGCACCACAAAGGAATGGACCACCTGGTTTCAGGCCCTGGCGAGGCGGGTTCGTCTCCGAAATATCCGAGGAAGGAGGGGGTTCACAGGCCTCGCGCGGGCTCGTCAATGTTGGCAAACGTGCCATTTCACTCGCCACTGGACGACGCAGTGGCTGCTGCAGAAGGAGATGTTCGGGACCCTCCCCCAGAAGCTGCGGTGCAAACGTTGCAGGGAGTGTCAAGGGATGATACAGCTCAGGCGCTGCTGGATGCTCCGTCGCCATAGATGCCGCCATGGGCCTGGGCGCGGGAGGCGGCGCGAGCGGGTCTGCCCTGTCCCCATGGACCTGGCGCTCAACGTTCCTGGTTCTGTCCTCGAGGGAGCTCATGCGGCCGTGCGCCAAGTTTTGCACGCCCCTGATATACTGGTCTGTGTCGGCGAGTGCCTCGGACAGGGCGTCGATTTTCCTGCCGTCGGTGTCGACACGCGCACTCAAGGTGTTCACGAGCTGAGTCATGGCGTCCAGGTGGCGGGCCGTGTCTTCGTGACGGAGCGACGACCTCTCGAGACGCGTGGCGAGGCTGTCCATGCGGCGGGCGACGCCGTCGCTGCGCCGCATTGACAGGTGCAGCTGCTCGCAGATTTCCCGCGTATTGTCGTCGGGCTGGGCCTGGACCTTGTTTGTCTGCTGACTGAGGGCTGGTTTCATCGAAGATTAGTTGGAGTCCGCTTCTTTCTCCGGAGGTAGTCAGTCAGGTCAAGTGACTTACCCGAAACAACTTGGTCCAACAAATCCAACCTGGCAAGTGGTTGCACTTGGCCGCTGAGGTAGGAAATGGTAGCGGCGGCGGTGGAGGAGGAGCTGGGACCCTCATGTCCACTTGAAGAGGCCATGGCTGATGAGGAACAAAATTTGCAATGTGGGAATATGTGTGGGAATATTTGTGAGACGAGAGAATGCGATAGAAATGGGCGAGGAGTAGAGAAGAGTTGTTGTGCAGAAGGATGCGAGGTGGTTTGGGTAGATAGAGAGACTTATATAGTCCTGGACGAGGGGGTGAGGGCACTTTTGTCGACGCAACAACGATCATACATCCAATGAGGACATTTCCAATACGACCGGAAGCTGCAAGATTCAAAGCAGCTTGAAACAAAGGGCTGGTTGAAATCGACCAATTGCAACCATCCATCCCCAGCTTTGCTACCCGACCCTGCCCCCTGTGATACCCTCGTTGGCTTGGCTCTTCTTTTGTGGTTAAATGGCTTGCATCGGGGTGGTGGGAGGATCAACGAATCCCAGAACCAAAAGCCGCTCTCATTCGCGAGCTAGACAGTTGCCTGGAATGGGGCCGGCGGTAGCAACGTGTTGTTAGCTCACTGGGTGACAGTGGCGGAGACGGAGGCACTGTGAGACAGTACAGCAAGGGAATTCCGCGGACGCAATCAGGGCGACGCTACTTGAACAGTTCTCAATAATCCGTCTTGATGCGATTCATCTTGTCGAATCGTGCGCAGATTGCCCGGGTTTTAGGTTGCCTTGCAATTGTTCAATAATGCATGGGCACGGGAGGACTTTGAATTCCCCAGCATTCCGACAAGGAAAGTCACTTGTGTTGATGACTGAGCGGCGGAGAAAGATTTCTCCGGATCACGGGGTGAGTTGAAAAGTTTCGGCTATCGGAGGAATGTTCTTCCAGGTCAGTCTTTCATCTTCTTGCGACTGTTTTCCCCCTCGATGCCACCTCTACACCATCGCGGATGCGATGGACGATCAAGAGCAGGCAAAGATTATCAAGGACAATCCTATTGGGAAGGATGTCTTCCATCGCGTTCGCGTTACGTTTGAACTCAGCTGCAATGACAAGGAGATTCCGTGCACCTTGGACGCGCTGGGCCAACTTGACAAAGGAGGCATGATGATCCAGCTTCGTTTTCCTGTGCTCCTCTGACTTACACGTAGTAATCCGAATACTTGCGGAAACCCTTCTTGTCTCTCTACGACTACTGCCGCTCGCAAGCCAACTCCGTTCCAAGACAGGTTGTGGGAGCCTCGATTCCGACCTGCGCAGACTGATTGGAACGATCGCCGATAACTATTTCGACCTCGACCGCATCGAGCCTCTCCTACAGGCAGTCCTTGCCGACGACCCTGATGATGCGCTCATCTGGGACCGAGTCTACGAGGCCGTCACCGAAATCACCCCGCCCAAGACGTCGCGATGCCCTCCTATCCAAACCCCATTCCGTCAGACAACGGGCAGCTTGATGAATACCTCCGAGCTCCGCGACAATGTGGACGGAGTGCTCAAGAAAGAACTCGGCGCTCTTTACGTCGGGCTTCCTCGATTTCACGAGGCTTTTTTTGGACGCGTGGCAGACCTCGAGGAGGTATCCGCAGCTGTCTTCAAGAAGTGCAAGGAAGGCAACGAACCACTCTTCAAGGATGGGTGGATCGAATGGCCGAGAGATGCAAAAGAAGAAGACGTCTTGCGCTGGTTGAGAAGAGTGCACGAGAAACTGGTGGACTTTGCAGAAATATATAAGACGCTCCCGAGGCACCCACGATGGCTACTGGCACAACCCAATAAGGTCGTACAGGGTTCAGTTGCAGATCGCAAGTTGGATGTCGCCTTCCTAGCTTGCCCCAAGACCGAAGAAGGCTTCAGACATACCTGGTGGGATATCCTCATACCAGGCGAGCTGAAGAGCAATCCATCGGCCGACGCGCCGGGAAAGGCATGGCTTGATCTTGGGACGTACGCCAGAGAAGTGCTCGCTGCTCAAGACAACCGTCGTTTCGTCTTGGGCTTTACCCTCTGCGGGTCACTCATGAGGGTATGGGAGTTTGACCGGCTCGGGGGGATCGCATCCGAACAATTCGACATCAACAAGGATGGGGAGCGTTTTGTGTCCACGATCATCGGATTTACCTTCATGAGTGAGGAGGAGCTTGGCCTTGATCCCACAATTATGACGGGGGCAGATGGCAAACGATTTATCGAGATCCAGCGGAATGATTCGACAGAGCGTGTCATGATTGACCGATTGATGCTACGCACACGTTACATAGTTGGCAGGGCCACGACTTGCTGGAAAGCCTATCGAGAAGGACAGCCAGAGACACCCCTCGTCATCAAAGACTCATGGCAACATGTCGAACGTGACGAGGAGGGCGAACTGTTACGCGAAGCAATCGGTCAAGATGTTGCCAACGTGGCCCGATACTATCACCACGAGACTGTCCAAGTGGGCAACAAAGATGACGACATTTGGGGCAATGTGCGCGGCGGGCTCGACGTCGCCACACCTACGAACTACCCGTTGAGGCCGGAACCTTCCATGCCGCCACCGAGTATCACCGCGGCTAGGGGTTCGTCGAGAGGTCGCAGCAAAAGCACGGGCGGCCGCGCAACCGGCAAGAAGCGATCCTCTAGTCAAATCCTCGCCCTCCTGCCCTCCAGCAAGCGGGCTTGTTCAATATCCCCAACGAACGCTCGCGACGAAACAATACCCAATCGTGTACATCGTCGTGTCGTCCTTCGTGACTATGGGAAGTCCATATACAAGGCGAGCTCCCGATCGGCTCTCCTTGCTGCATTGGAGGGTTGCATTGGGGGCCACGAATCCTTGTATAAGGCTGGGTTTCTCCACCGAGACATCTCGATCAACAATCTCATGATCAACGAGGACGAGGACAACCCCTCCCAGCGTTCGTTCTTGATTGATCTTGACCTCGCCATCCAGGTGCCACGAGAAGCCGCCTCTGGAGCAAAACACAAGACCGGCACGAGGGCGTTCATGGCGATAGGGGCGCTTCTAGGCGAGCAGCATTCTTTCATGCATGACCTCGAGTCATTCTTCTGGGTGCTCTTCTGGTTATGCATCCACTATACAGGGCCGGGTCAATCTATCTGCTCACCTGTTTATGACATCTGGAATTACACAGGTGATGAAAGTCTGGCTACTTTGAAAGCCGGTACGATATCTAGTGAGACAATGTTTCTGAAGACCGCGAGCACGCACTTCACACGGTATTACCAGCCATTAATCCCGTGGGTCAATAGACTACGGAGGAAGGTGTTTCCAAACGACAAGAGGTGGAAGAAACCGGACCTGAGGCTCTATTCTGCGATGAAGGACGTGCTTCGCGAGGCCCAGAAGGACCCAAAAGTGCTAGCGGATGACGGATAGGTAGTATTGTCATAGGGCTATGTATGCCATGGCAGTATTTCTACATTCACATCGCTCCTCCCATACCATATCATCGACAGAGCGACAGCCTGGCGATACTGAACATTCAGAGGGTCGCCATAGCCAAAGTCGGTGGCCTTGACTCAATCGGTGGTCATCGAAGGTCAAAGGAGAAGCTCACAACAAAAGGTCATTTGTGAGATTAAAGGGAATGTGCACAATGGCCATTCCCCGAGTCTCGGGGAAAATAAAAAACAGGCAATCAGGAGTGAAACGGAAATAGTTTCTTTCTGGTCGACAAAGAGCGGAGCTTGCTTTGGCCAGTGAATCAGGGCATTGCTCACGCACACAAACGCGCTGCCTGTGTACATTGCCTGCAAACTTCATTCATGACTCACAGCCTTGTGTCTCAACTGCCCTGGCAAAGCCTTTGCCCACGACCTCCTTAAATATCGAATCATTTCCTCCGGAATCCATCTTCTTCTCATCACAACTTCTTATCCATCGCTTGCACCCGCAATCTACCCAAACAGAATGGAGTCTCGCATCGAAAGACCGCTGAACCTACTCAAGCTCCCCACGGAGATCCTCTCGGATATTATTGACTTACTGGACAGCGACATTTTCCCAGCAAATCGACAACACGTCAGAAAGGTTCGGCAGACATGCAAAGCATTACACAGATTGTCCGAGCCTGCGTTTTTCCGGTCTCTCAGTTATGCCGACCAAGATCAAGCTGATAAATTAGCTCGCGTGTTGATGGAACATCCGCACCGATATGACCTAGTCAATCGTCTCATTGTCTTTCCTGCCCGTCGGCCGAACAGTCCGGACCTCGGCAACATGGTCTGTGATCTTCCCAAATTCGGCAAGCTTAAGGTCTTGCACATTGTGGGATCTGGCTCCAAAGACTGGTCACTCTTCTCCGCCCTCAATCCGACGCTCGCATCGAGTGCCTTTCCCGAGTTGCGCGAATGCACGTTGGTCGGCATGTGTGACCATCAAGTTTGCATCAACCCTTTGCTCAAATTACCCAAGCTCACGACGCTGAAAATTTCTCTACCCTTCTTTCATGACGATGATGACTCGCTCCCGATACCTCATTCCACGCCGTTGAAACATCTGGTCCTCTTAGTGGCGCGGAGTTTGACCCCAAATGCTCTCGCGTCCATCCTGCGATTGCCTAGAGCACTCGAGACCCTGGAGTACGAGTACCTCCATGGTTTTAGAATGGACATTTTTTCTTCGTGGGCCATGATAAACGGCATGCAGACCGACGCGCTCAATCACCTAGCGGTAATACTGGCTCGTCATCAACCGCGCCTCGAGCTGTTGAAATTATATCTCCATCGCCGTTACTACTATGAAGCTGGTATCGATACTGGAGTCCTTGACTTGACGGCACTGACTGCATTGAAAGAACTCTGCCTCTCACGGGAGGTAGTGTCCTCCTCCGACTTTTTTCCCAAGCTACCGGAGGCCCTCAAAGTTCTCCGCATTGAGGCCGCATATAACAACCTGGCGACAGTAGCACTGGGTGTTTGCCGAAGATCGAAACTCGAGACTATCTCATTGCCGCCTCTTGTCGTGTTTCAGAATTTCTTGGCACAGACAGAGCGTGGACTCCGCTACGCTCGAATATGCTTGGAGATGCCACTTGGACGGAGAGACGACATGGTGGTCAAACAGCACTGGAGGGCGGCTACTAAATTCTTCATCAAATATCTGCAAGTCAAGGAGGTCTTGTTTGTGGATAGAGACGAGAGGTTCGAACGACGCATACAAGTGGCCAAGACTGAACGCAAAGCGCGGATGCTATTAAATGTCACTCCGTATGAGCACTGGCCAGTCGCAAGGCTCAACCGCCCCTCCGGACCCAGATATCCCGTGGACTATTTTAGGACATCCGAGTATCATACTCTCGTTCAGAAAGGATTGGCCTCTGCCTGGGAGTGAAGTTTTTCTTGATGCTTTTGGTGGTGAAAGAGGAGGGGGGGGGAAGGAATATTGCTCGCACAAGGACACAGAATGCACGACGGAGGAATTTCTGCTGGCTGAGGGGAGACGAAAACAAGCAGTCAGGGTGGGTGTGGTGTGGTACACACGGTCCATGACTTTCAAGTGTTTTGACCTGTGGACCTGTGGACCTGTTCAGTGAATTGTATTGTATTGCGTTTGTAGAGTAGATGCTCCTGTGATGTGGGATATTCTTTCTGGTAAACCAACAAACCCCCCAACGAAAATCGAAAAGGAAGAAAAACAAAAAAAAAAAAAGGTTGAAAATAAATAAAAATACCCTTGAAGGGCCATCAATCTTTGTTCCCTCCCATCTTTTTTTTTTTTTCTTTTTCTTCTTCTTCTAGCGAGTACGCTTTCCATTTCCCTTTGTTTTGTCCCGCACAGCACTGTCGTCTGGCCCCTAAATGAATCCTCGTTGTCGACCACGACCGGAGTCACGGAGCCCGGTCCCTCGGCACTTGGCCACTTACGTTGTGGGATCTGTTCACACGAACACAACCTCAATCCTTTTGAGATTGAGTCCTCCATCCTACAACCTCATCGACTCCAATGCCTCGTGAGGCTGTTTACGTCTGTGATCGACCAGGGCTGGCTCCCGGAGAGAGAGCCTTCCCCTCTCGTCAACATGGAATCGGCTGGTTCCAATCAAATGGCAAACCGGTTAGATAACACTTATGTATGGCCAACTACTGACCGGGACTGCTCAGACAGGATTACACGATCGAAACCAAGATGAATGAGGCAAGCATGATGCGGCTAAAATACACGGCGTGGGAAGAAAGAGCGCGGAACATTTCTGGAAAGATTTGCCCATCATGGTTCACGACGACGACGACGGTTTGGTCGGTGCGAGATTCGAGCCCGCACCATCAGGGGCTGACTGGGCGAATCGGCTACTAGGGTGTTTGCCCACAAGGGCACACGATCTCTGGGGGGGAAGGGCGAAGTAGAGAGAGGATCTCGTCACTTGAACTTTACTGCGGGACATGAATACGCGGAGGCGATATGCTCCATTTTTTTTTTCTCTACACCTCTACCACCGGCGGTGAGCAAAGTAGTCTGTCAATCAGGCCTTTTTCTATGAACGACTTCACCCTATGGGTGGTAGTGCAATGCAGCAAGTGCCTCTCTCTGTCTCCTCTCGTTATCTTCCCGCTCTCTCAACTCCCTCCTGCGGCTCGACGTTGCTCTGATGTGACCTCGAGTTGGAAGAACATGCCAGATACAAGAGTAGGAGAGAGACAGAGAGTCTGTGAAAAGCTGCAAGGACTTTGGTGAGCTCTGCCGGCCAGGCTATTCCTGACCCTGACCCAGACCTCGTGCTATTGTTGTTGTGAAAACAGGTGAGGCGTGGTGATCAGATCTCCTGTCGCCTTGAAAAAGCTGCCTCCAGGACTGTGATGCGCGTACCAAGGCATAAGATCCATCAGCACCTGTGTTTTTCCGTGTCTTTTTTGTCCAGGAATCAATGTTGCGATCGACGATGTGCGCGCTCCGCGCGTTCCTTGGTAGCTTTTTCTCTCTTCTTGGCTGCTTCGTCTTCCTGCTTCACCAGTTCCGCGGCATTGTTTCGACGTTTGGTCACATTCGCGACATACCTCCTCATCCGAATCAATGCCTCGTCTATGATGGCGTGTTTCCACCAATGTTGCCAGATCTTGTAAAGATCCGCGGGCGCAATTGTAATAGCCTCGATACCGGGTGCGGTCGTGGCAGGTATTTCGAAGAATGGAAGTCGGGTTTCGCGGTCACCGGCGTCAATGGTTGCGGAAAAGATCTGCGTCGGCTCTCCTCCGTGGTCCAGATTTCGTTCCCAGACTTCCCAGACGAGCGTGCTCTTCCCGACCCACTTGACACCCTTGTACCAGAGTGGCCCCAGGTCTGAATCTAATTGGAAATCCGCTTTGTCAATGGCCCGGAGTTCACGGATGTCGAGGTCCACGGGGCTTGTGTACTCGGGGTCCGTGACAAGATCGACCAAGATCAACCTGGAGACGTGGGACGTTCCTTTCAAGTACAGGTCTCGCAAATTGAGTAGACTTTGACGAGATTGGGAAACACCAACTTCGACAACAGTGTGTAAGTCGGTCCCACCAACGTCCTCGATCCATGCGATACCCAAGTCTGGCTGTTGATGTGATCCTCCCCATTCTCCTTCGAAATCAATATCCTCGCCACGTATTATGCAGAGTTTGTGCCGGACCGCCGAATCTAATTTCTCTTTGGCGACATCACCGAGCCATTCGATGATTCGACCGTGTCTTCGGCCAGGCATCGGTGAAAGAGTGAGGACTGACTTGTGGGAGTTGTATGAGACTCTGAATCTAAGCATGCGGGGTGATATTAGTATCTTGTTTGATAGAGATCACATAAGAAGAAGGGTGTGCATACCCTCTACTGAGAGACTCAAATTCAGAATCCTCGAGCAGCTGGTCAAAGGACGACTCAGGTACGATGAACTCGCGGGGTCTGTCTGGAAACTCAAGGTTGTGGCCGTCGAGACAATACTGTAAAAATTTTCGAGCATCGTCTGTTTGATCCAGGCCCACAGCTTGCTGGAGAGGTGTGGTCGTCTCTTGCGACGGTGTGATTGTGTGCTCAGAATCCAAGGTCTTCTGGACACGGAGAGGGAGATCGACTTGTGAATCAGAGGCCGCGCGTGAGGGTGGGGGATCAATAGAGGGGGGAGATTGCCCGACTGAATCATTCACGAAGGCCATTTTTGCCAAATGAGGTCTTTGTCGAGCCGCGAGCTGATAATATCGGCGCGACAACGAACGTCGACGCAGCAACAAGGTACTGCGCGGCGCGGGAGCGTGAGGTGCAAATGAACTGCTTGTTATTTCGCCTTCTGGCCACGCGGTACTTTTGTTGCACCAACGTGAGATTAAGAAGCGATGCAGCTGATATTGGTGACAGACAAGTTGTTTGTGAGACCGAGACGGAAATAATCAAGGACGCGCCATAGACGCTGACGTCATGACACCGGCCGGACTACGGACTATGTTATTTCCGACTGACACGAAGGAAGGTTAGCCGACAACAATCATCTTGTCCACGTCTGACTTCAGGCATTGTCTGACTGTTTTAGTCTGTACATACAGCAAGAACTTCTTTATTACATACGTCATACTGTTGGCGTCTGAAAAGATGGCCCTGACTTCTAAGGATACTCCCATACGACCTTCACACAACTCTGCAACTCACACCGTTCGCGGTTGTTGAACACCCTGGCCTCCAACGCCCTGTGCCACCCGATGAACACACCACTATTCAGCAAGCATACTGAGACTGAGCCAAGCATGAAGAGGCGGGAGTTAACCTGAGCAATAGCGGTGACGGTGCGAGGTTACGTGGGCCAAAATTGAGGCCTGCGTCGAGATTCTAGCGAGGAATCATTCATCGCTGCTTTGCAATTCGCATCTTGGGTGGACCACATCTGCTCGGACTTCTTTGCATTGCCCCAAGCCGCCACATGACCTGGAGCGAAACGAACATGGCAATAACAATACTCACTCCGGGAGCTTGTGGTCCATGTACGACAGAGTTGGCTTTTTGACATGGATCAGCCATCTGTATGTCTACTAAGACTTCTGCAGAGCAAGTTGAACTGCGTTATTGCCCGGAAGGTCGATATGATGATATGATGACACGAGACACTCCCTCTTTGTCAGCTCGAGCTCGGGGTTGAACTTGACACAACTACACGATCTTGTTTCAGTGCATTTACGTCCCACGTTGCAGACTCGTTAGCTCTCCCCACCAACAGAATTAAACGACCTCCTAGGGGATTGTATGTGCGCATTGTATTACAAAGTCTTGGAGAGTATAGCCAGATCCTCCGGGACTAAATCCCAAGCTCAGTGCCTCTCAGCAATGATAATACTGACGGCATATTACGGAGTAGTAATTCACGTACAGCCTCGCGTATGTCACAACTTCACATATACACACACAAAAAAAACTAGATATAAAAAAACAAAAAAACTCCACTTGGGAGAAAACTGTAGCCCGTAGTACAATGGACACAGTTTTTTTTTTTGGTTTCCTGGACTTAAGAAGTCCTTCTCTCCTCTCGCAGTGTTTCCCTCCTGCTCGTCCTCCTCCTCTTTCTTCCTCCGTGAGCGCTCAACCCCATAATTTACCCTCCCCCTTCTCTCGCTTAGAGCCTTTTTGTAGTTGTTGTTAACAATGCAGATTGCAACTATCAATTCCTGATGGGCAGTGCCAAGATCTGGAAGTATGTAAACCAAGGTGGTTGAGATTTCAAAACCCTGACTCGGTGTTACAGATTGATGCAGGCCAGATCCGACAATTGTTGCAGGGAATTCCGCGGTTATAAATGATAACACTTGAAAAAAGAAATAAAGTGGGGTTCTCAGTGATGTGTGATGGAGGGTGAGGCAGTGGGAGGGCGGCCTCCGGAGGGGGTGGTGGTGACTCCTGGGTGGCGAGTGAAGTTCACACACTGATTCTCTCAAGTTCCGATATTAAATTGACAATCGAGCGCAGCACGGCATGGATGTGTTTACATTGAGCATATCGCTCACTAGGCCAGGTCACTCTGAGGGAAACCCTCGATGACGACGACGACGACGACGACGACTACCAACGGCTCACACCTAATCCTTTCCTTCCATCCTATCTCTGCCCTACAGGACCAAGGAGCTATCGCTACAGCGTCGTTCGTGTTTGCTACCTACCAGGCACGTGGACAGCATGGCACAGTATTTCTCGCACACCGAACACAATGACAAAGCACGGCTGTCCCATTCCCATTCCCCCGAAATTTTGAAAGGCGGTTGCGCAGTTTTGCGAGAAGCTCAGGGAGCCGCACCTGACTGAGTGCGCTCCAAGAGGGAACAAGAATTTCCAGTCTTTCCATGAAGCTCTTTGCGAGGCAAAAACAAACAAGCAGAGCATTTCGCAGGCAAAAGTCCAGAGGAATCCGCAGGCAAACAAACAAACAAGGACCTGGATTCCCGAACCGCTGCTGCTGCTCGTCTACCTCGATAAGTGTCTCGAACAAAAGACCCTCAATCTACACAAATCAAAAGATTGTACAAGACCGAGAGATTGAGTCGCCCAGAAAGACATCAAGCAGCCTGCCAAAAGACAGCCTTTTCGCGAAACGGAGCCTCAACCCGATATAATATCCACCACACTAGGTGCTCAGTATGTCTATGCAGTAGAGGAATATGTTGGGCCGGGACATCAATGTCTGCTAGGAGTGCGTTGAGTGAAGACGAGCGGCGCCGCCATCGACGGTACCGTGATTCACCCTGACCATGGAGGAGCCGGTGAGCGGGACCGATGGTCGTCCGACGCGACGTGGAGTTGAGAGAATACCAAGGCCAACTAGAACAATTCCGCCGGCTCCAACGACAATGGCAGCATCAAGGCGGCTTCACCACATGACAATGGCACAACATGACAGAATGACAGTAGTGCAACACGCAAGGGACTGTTGCCGACATACGTGGCTCATGTCGAGTCCCACATCCGCCTTGACCGAGATCTGAATACCCCTCCAATGCCGAAAGTGCAGAGTGTAGAGACTGCGTGGCGCATCTACGCAGTTTCCCCGAAAATTGCACAACCTAAAAACGATTGCGCACGAAATTATGAGGTACTTTCGAACCGTGCTTTTGAAACTCGATATTCCAGGCCAGGGAGACAGTCTGTCACCGTCATCATCACCTGGGTCCGTTGTGCACAGACTCTAGACGCCAGCGCAGGTGGTAGCGGGATATCCGAGATATTCTCAAACACTCCGCCATGCTCAGGGTCCCTCTGGCTTGGTTGTAGTGCCACATCAGAGCCTGAGAGCAGGTAAACGTCCGAACAAGCCTATACCCTTTCTAGTAGTGCGCTTATTAAGATAGTACTAGGCTATAAACAGCAAGTATTTGGAAGCATTGCCAGCCACGTGCCACGCTACTCCGAATTAGGAATCCCTCCTTTGCTTGATTCCAAATACCTTGTTGTACGGAACCGTTTCAACTTACTTCTCAAACCCCTCGCCCCAACACACAAAGGGGACAAAGCACCACAACGCCAACACAGCCTCAGCAACAAGATTAGTCCGGCGCGCCTTTGTCAAGTTGTCCCCAGGTAAACCTTGCATGGACGATAGGTTTAATGGGGTTGGCTAGCGATATTTCCCAAATCAACTGAACGCCCAATATCAGCACAAAACAGAGTGTTGGGACAGACAAAAAGGACAAGGTGAACAAGACAATCTCGAAGTCCAAGTCCTGGACCATTGGAGGGATATTTCAGGCAATGAGCCCTATCTGCGGCGTGTGTCCAAGGCAGGCGATGAGCCCGGTGGCCGGGCCCTGGTCTCACACCACTCCAATCAAAGGGCTTGTCTTTGTTCTCTAGAGGCTTTTTCTTCGTCGCCTTTGTTCTTGCTTTTGTGTTTTGGCAGAAACAAGTCCCTTGTTCTCGCATGAGTCCTTGTTATATTGTGCGATACCGAGTACTTAAGTCTTGGTCAAGGAGCTCTCTTCTGTCGACCACGGAACTACCCTTACTCTACTAAAGAACTCCGTCTACTGAACCAAGTACTCAAATCTCGACAAAAGAACAAAATGTCTGCCGTTCCTGCTCTTGCCCTCGCACCTTCAGCCAAGAAGAGACCACGCACGGAAGATGACATTCCCACCCTCCCCCCTCCAGCCAAGAAGAGACCGTGTGCGGAAGAGAATGTCACCACCCTCGCCCTTTCAGTCAAGAAACTCGAGATCATCGATAGCATTGCGGGCCCTAGTCCGAGCTACACCACAGACGACGAGGCCGGTGCTCTCACGAACGCCAATCCAACCGACGTGAATGCGGTTGATGAGATGGCGGATGCGAACATGAGCGATGACGAAGACAGTGACTTAGATTCTCTACCGTGTGATCGAAGCTCGTGGGGCTCGAATTCACAAATGAGCTTCAGTTCGGACTCGAGCGACGACGAGGGTGAAGAGGCAATGCCGATCCAGCCCTTCGATAGGGAGTATATCCCCCCCGACGATGGTTACGTAGGAGTGTCAACCAGTGATGTTTCGGGGTGGCATGAGCAGCTGCTGGATGACAAGGAGACAAGCCACCTGTTCTACCTGGAAGGTTGCGTCCGACTGCAGAGATGGAAGCTCCTCAAGCTGTTGGACGCCACCGCGTCTGTCCCGGGCCCGGTGAAGACGGATTCGCTGAGCTTGGCCGACGCAAATAGAAAGCCGAGTGTCTCTCAAAAGGGAGACTTTGGCGACTCGTACGGCGGCCGCGCGGACTATTTCCCGTACCCGTTGGGGCCCGGCGCAGGTGAGAAGCCGGCTGTCGTTCAGTTCGGGATCTTTGGCGGCTCGCACGGCGGTCACGCGAACTATGTCCCGGACTGGATGAGGCCCGAAGTAAAGGGGAAGCCGAGTATCTTTCACCAAAAGAAACACTTTGGCGACTCGCACAGCGATCGCGCGAACTGTTTCCCGGACTGGTCGAGGCCCGACGCGGCGGGATTGGAAGCGGCCGCGAATGGCTCGCGACTTCAGCCAGAGGCGATCAAGCTCATAGTTGACTTCTTCCACCGCCGTCCGCACCTCAACCGCACCGAGTGCGAAGACTACTGCCTCAAGAAATACCTGGGAGAGGACATCGGATTCGCACCCTGGAAGTGGCCACTCAAAGTGCACGCGTACCCCTCCGAGTTCCAGTTCCCCGACAGCTACATGGTCGAGATCATAGATCCCTCCGTCTCCATCCCTCCCCACATGACGCTGTTCTACATCACGCCCAAGACGCTGGACGAGGACCAACTCGCCCAGGCCAGAGAGGCGTACGACCACTTCGTCCCGCAGTACACCTACGTTGGGCACATGGACGTGGCGGGCAAACACCGAACGAAGCTGTTTGTGTGGCGGATCGAAGCCCCCGTTGGACGCCCCATCGCGGCCGACATCGACCGGCTCGGTCTGCGGGTCAATCAGGAAAAGTACCTCAACATCATGAAGCATTTTGTTGACTTTGTGTGCAAGCCGCTGCCGCCGAGATGGGATCATCGTGGCCGCAACCTCGACACTGGCGAGAACTGGCCCATGGTGCCGCACAACCCTCTCCTCGACGTGAACAACATCATTGTCCGGCCCGACTGGTCAGGCATCGCCGGCGTGCTCCTCTGGGGGGCCCCGCCACTCAAGACCCTTCCCTTTGGCGCTTCCCTCTCCGGCCTCCTGCGTCTAGAAGGAGTCCCAGACCTCGAGGACGCCGGGGATGATCAACGAGTTTGCGAAATCACTCCTTCCATGTTTGACACTTACAGCCGTAACGGGCGCGAGTTGGAGCGTTGCTGTCTGTACTACCTGCGGGAAAAAATTCCGACCCTCGGCGACGACCCCTTGGCCTGGCACCGCCTGTTCAAGGCCATGCGCGACGGCACCGCGGCGGCGGACAACACGTCCAAGATCGAAAGAATCTGTCACGAAGCGCAGGTCGAAGACCTAAGGTGGGAATGGTTCCGGCTTGAGATAGAGGCTGATATCCCCGATGACGAGAGCGACGTCGCAAGTTGGGAAAGCGGAAGTGGAGAAGAGAGCGGCGAAGAAGAGAGTGACGGAGAAGAGGGTGGCGACGACGTGGACATGGATATGGACTAAAGAGTTATCGTTTTTCCTTGGAGTTTCTCCTGGTCGTATACGTTTTTGATTAGATCAACCCCATCTGAGATATATACAATGACAGATTGTATTGTACCTGACAAGATTTCCTTCCTTCTTACCAATAAACCAATCAAGTCATTACACTTGCACTCTTCGTGCCCTGACAGGACGCTATCACATTGCATTTACCTCTTGTCCCAGAGAGTCCAGAGACTCATATATTCGTTCCACGAAGCTGGCAGAGGGGAGTCGAATGAGGTACAGGAAACTTCCGGCCTTCCTTTCCATCGGCGCCCACTTCTGCTCCCTTGCTTCTTCAGGCTGTCCTGTTTGCTTCATGACTGGTCCAGGTGCCAACGGGGACAATGGACTGACTGTGTGTAACAAGAACGAAAAAAAGGTCCGAGGACGTCATTTCCTCCTCCTCCTCCTCCTCCTCATAGCCACGAGCTCTAGAAAAAATTCGAGAAATCTTGATGTCGGAGTCGAGAACCCGCGATTGAAGTTTTTACTTTTCAGATCACCTGATTCAACGCCGTCGAGCCGACATCGTCTCGCGTGTTTCAGAGTACAGATGCAATGCCCCCCCATTGAACGTTCTGAATGCCAGGCCGGACCCAGTGTCCTTTACTACGCGTTGAAGGCGCTGAAGAGTTGAACCTGCGGCGGTGTGGCAATGGCAAGACAAAGAAAATACTGTATGGACTTTGATTTCTGCTGTCTCAAGATCTCAACAATTCCTGGTCGCTCGGGGGGGGGGGGGGGGGGGCCTTGGGCACAGGCGATCTGTGTCAGCCTACCAGCGCTTTGCCTGTGTAATACGTACCCATGATGGGGCCGCTCATGGGGCATTGGGCCTTCCCGTACCAAGGGGACTTGTGAGAAAATACTGAAGGGACTCTGAGCCCCAGTCACTCGACGGTAGGTAGAGACTTAATATCGAGGATGGTGATGATGCCTTTTAGTGGCATTATATCACGTGTCTTGGAGTTGGAGATGTTCACTGGTGCGGGTCCGGAGTATGAATAATCCGGCACCTGAGCAGTACCGAGAGCGCGCGGAGTACGGAGTAACTGGAACTCCCGAGCCAGTGCATGAGGCGCGGACTATAATTCGACCTCACATTATTGCACCAAAGGCTGTATATGTGCCAGTCTGACCCGTCCGACCGCCTTGACTTGCACGCTTGGTCTCCAACATGCCCGTTGATGGGGACTGTGCTTCTGTAATCCATCTGATGCGGTGTGCGGCGGATTGATGGCTGCGGACCAAAGATCAAGCAAGACTGGGCCGAGAACTCGAAGTTTGGAGGGAGTGGCATTTAGGCATGACCATACTCGCCCCTGTTGACCCTTCTCGCACCCTCCTCACCCGCGCCGACATCTCTCGCTCGGGCCCAGCCCGAGTCCCACAGCCCCTGAGGATTTACATCCTTCTGTCCCTCTCGGGACGGTGTCCTGGCCTCGAGCCTTGATGCTAGACCTTTTCTGCTAATCACACTCATCACGCCGCTTGACGTCGAAAGTACATACAATGAAGAGGAACAGGGTACCGAGGACCATATGAAGATTTATATTGTGGCGGCTTTGCGGTCTCGCTACTGCACCACGGCGTCCACCAGATACAAGAGATTCATGACGGTCCGCCATTTTTCCAGGTTGAAAACACACATGACGACGAGGAATTCTGTGACGGCGAGCAACGAGAACGAGAACGAATTCGAGCCGCGAGTACTAGACGACGGATACCTTCCCGCGAACGAATACTCTGTTGACAATACGACAGCGTTCCCGGTCGCACTACCTACCTGCATCTGAGGTGCCTAGAGACCCCACGATTTTTTACGCGTGTGAGAGAAAAGCGCCCGACCCGACGCCGTTCACTGAGCCGGTAGCGTCTCAGTCGCCTTTGGGAGGATGCAACATCGTCATACACAAAGCAATGGCACGGAGAAAGGCTAGCCTGATCAATGCACAGCCACGGGTCAACTTATGGCGGAATGCCGAGCAGCCAACATACCAGCCGCGGTGTCCAGGTCTTCTGTAACCTTCCAAAGAAGGTGCCTACGCTAGCGCCTAAAAACCAAAGAATCATTAATGATGCTGGTAGTCGAGAGTGCCGACGATGAAAGCCGGCGCAGAGATACAAAATACTCACGATGGAAAACACCCGCCACATATTTGCGAGCTCGTCAAAGAAATAACAGGCGAAGGCCTTTCGAGCCTCTATACAGCGCCTCCAGATAACGAAAACGACACTGAAGCAGCCCCGGCTCCAAGCCAGTGCGACTTGAAGCAAGGAGTCCCATGGCACGATTAACAACCCCTGTGATATCAATTGAGGCAGCCATGTTATTTGCAGACTTTGGTGGTGAAGCATCCGTGGCTCATGCCGCTTCAGGACCGGCTCATTCAACTCCTCGAAGACGTCCGTCGCGTCTTCTTGACCGGTACCTCCGACTTCGTCGTGGGCGCCTACTTTGAGTTGGCTACAAGTATTATGGGCAGCCGATCAATTGAAGATGCTGGGGTGGTAGGTTCCCAGCTGCTTCACACACAAACACAAAATGGATGGTCCTTGCCAGGTCGAGCGGACGGGCGATTGTACACAAACTAACGAGGTCTGCATCAGGTGCCACAGCGTCACCGTACTCTGAACTGCGGCTTGATGCGACTGCTGTGAGCTCCATGGACCCCATCTTCCGTACATTCGTGGCCCACATGCGTGAAGCAGGTCATGCTGGGAAGAGAGAAGAAAAAAAGTTGATTATATGACTCTTGAATGCCTTGCTTAGGCATCTCCCTGTCACTTTGGGTCCACAAGTCACAGGTCCTATTTCCATTAGGGCATGGCAAGAGCCAACCTGTAGGAGTATATTCCACGTTACGTATCGTTCTAAGCAGAAATCGTTTCGAGACTCTCTTTCAGTTGGTAATACGACGGTATAAGCGATTCTCTATAGTTTACCTACCGGGAGCTCTACGTGATTACCCTCTACTACGGCCTGGCCCTCTTCTCTACTCTTTTCCTTCCCCTCATCCTGCCGTCCTTGCCTCTGAGCCTTTTCAGGTACATACACCAAGGTGTTCGGCGAGAAGGCTGAGAGCAGAGCGATGGCTCGCGTTGTCGCCGACTTGCCACATTTGACGTAGATGCCGCCTCTGCGGATATCGACTTTTTAGACATGCACCTGCACAGTTCGGCCGATAGGTCCTGGACTTGGTGACCTGTGCTATGGGTTTATTGAGTCGAGGGACTTTGTAACCTGTGGGCTCATAGGCCTACGGACTCAATGACTGCGACTTGGCCCGGGACTTGGACTCGTGGCCGACGACACTCGCCCGCTGGTCTGTGCCTCGTGCACTAACGGATTGACTTGTGGGCTTACCATGGAATTGGAGTTGGACTCGAACCCGCGGACCTGTTGACTCGTTACTTGTGGACTTTTCTGGCTCTGTGTCTTGCAGGCTTGTGAGCTTGGCAGGTCGTGGGACTCGTAGACTGGTTTCCGGTCTCGTTGACACAGCGTCGTTGATATAGCCTTGTAGACGTAGCTTGCTTGAACTTTGTTCCTGTGGTATTTGCAGGTCTGTTGAGTCGTGGCACGTACAACTGGTGGACTTTGTGGCTCACAAGCTCAAGGAAACAAACTTGTAGACTTGTGCTGCACTACTGGTGAGGCGTTGGTGACGGATGCATGATTACTCTGACAAACTAACTAGCGGCTCTCTCTCTCTCATATCGTATGTGCCTGACTGACAACACCTTCTCTTTCACTATAAATTCTGTCTCTTACCCGTGACGCATTCAATTCTCTCCGCCACCCGATCAGCAATTGAACGACAAAGTTTTCGTCTGTTCAGATCAACCAGAGGTTGGTGCACTCCGCATGGTCCACTCCACAGATTGCCAACGGCGCCCATACCCAGCACAATGCATCTTCTGGTGGGATATCCTGTTAGGAATCAGGGGGGCTCAGGTTGCTATTCTAAACCACCACAGAGAAGGATGAGGAGCACCCCAGGACGTTGCCACAGCGGCCGTCGCCTCTCCACAAGGCTGCGCCCCAGCCGGAGAGCAACCCCCCCAATCCATGTCGCTAGGACGCGAGGGTTGTCAGTGGAAGTGACGTTTCCCAGGGCGACCACCACAGACACTGTTTTGAGTGCCACCACCGCTCGTGAAGCTTTGCAGCACGGAGGATCTGGCAGAGCTCTCTGTGAAAGGCACCCGCAATCTGTATTCTTGCGGGAGATGCCCCGCGCCTCAAGGGCTTTACATGCGTCGTGAGAACGTTCAAATGCGGACGATCCAGACAAAGAAATAGAGTCTGTTCAGTAGGTGGATTTCTATGTGTTGAGATTCTTGTCAAGATATTGTGGTGTTGGATCGACTGCCCCGTTCCGACACGATATTGATGATAGCCATAGGATAGAATGTGAGTGAACAGGTTACAAGATGGTGGCTGAACACAATCTGGCCAGTAAGGGAGGCCAACACCTGCTGCGACTGTCTGTTTTCCGACTCTTGACTGCGCAATAAAGCGCCGAGAACAGTTTCCTTCACGATGTAAGTGAGGTCCGAAATGCCTGTCTCGGGACAAGTGGGCCTGGTCCGCAGGTAGGCAACTCCACTACCACTGTCTGTTTTCTGGCCTGTCCTCCAGCAGAAGCGAGTTACGCTGGATTTTGTGACGCAGGGAGCAAGAGGACAAGAGTGAACCGGTTCTTGAGCTCGTCGTTGGTAACGGCGGCACCGCTTGGTGCGGATGGAGGTGTCAAGATTTGACCGATGCTCTGATGGGTTTTGGGGAGGCATGTTGCTGCTTCTGGAAGAGTCAGTGTGAGGGCTTCTTTCAAGGAATCGAGGGTTCCACGAACAGAATCCATTCATCCAACAGGCAGACGGAGGACGCCTTTGCCCAGAGCAGTTCGCCGGTGTCGGTCTCGGGAAGAAGGAAACTGGCACCAGTGTGCCGTCTGTACATAGTTCCTCCCTGGGCGACCTCCTTTTGCAACTGGTTTCAGTTTCATTGGCTCGACTCGGTGTTTGGCTGGTGGATCACGGGAAGAAGGAGATAGGCGCTGGCGTGAAGCCAATCGCACAGACGGCCTTCGGAGGAGGAGTAATTCTCGAGGTAGTAGTTTTATCGTCTGAAGACGCCGTATGTCGACATGATCACGGGAAGAAGGAAACGCCCCCTTAGCTGTGGAGGGAGAGCTCGGGGCAGTAGCCCATTTCGCAGGCGGCGGCAGCCCGAGTATTTTGATTTGCGATACGCCAGTACATTACGGGGAGAAGGAAACACACGCCAGTACGAAGTCAACGGCACTAGTGTGCTGCAGGCCAGAAATACTCGGGCGGAATGACGTGGTGGTGGAGGACTGCTGAACAAGTTGGTGAGAAGTGTTGAACAACGGGCATTGTGAACGTATTTTTGGAACTGATGGGCAGCAACGCGTGAGTCGCGCTTGTGTGATCGTGTGGAGTCTTGACATTCGTTGCTGTCGCACAGGTGTGAGGGACACACTGCGGGCGCACAGTGTGCGTGTCAGTAGGTGGACGGATTATGGCTGATCCGTACTCTGGACACGTGCTTCAGATTATAGATCGGAGAAATCGGGTCTTGGGGGCCAATAATTTCTTGGCGCCGAGGGATTGCTCGTCTATGCGGGCCAACCCAGCAACCATGCCAAGCCTGGTAATCCAAATTGGGTATGCACGCTAGGCCCAAACCTGACTTTTCATCGACCGACAAAGAAAAGTACCGCGCGGATCCCGGGGACAAGCGAGTCCTCACCCCGCGCCTGATGGGTCCACGGGTTGACGGGTCAGCATGATTAGTCCGTACAGAGACACCACGTCATGATCAGCAAAGGTTCGGTCGTCATTTCATGTCATTGGGGGCAGGACCCCGACGAGCGACTCAGGTGAGCCTCTCATGGGGGCTTCTTACTGAACCATCCATCCTCAGTGCCAGTAATGGGGATGGTCCCCTATTGGAGCCACTTGGACGCTTGACTCCTTGTGCCGAGTGAGACTTGCTGAGGTCAATGCAGGAAGAACGAGAGAGGTCTCTTGACCAATCATCATGAGAAATCCTGCATGGGAGGCACGGATCTCACAGCGTGTCTGACTCCATTGCATTGAGTTGACTACTGGCATGCTAACATGCTAGCACGAGACAAATGACCTCCCACCATATCGGTCGCCTCTGATGCTGGCACGTTGGATGGAATTTACTGTGCCATGCAAATTCATCAGCCATTGTCTTGTCCCAATTGAGCCGAGGTCAATTAAACCCGTCACGTGAGACCCGGCATTCATCTCCTGTGATCAATGTTCGTCTGATGATGAAGAAACTCTGGTGTTTTGCTTTGTGCTGCCGAGTGTGAGAACAAATGGCTGAGAGATGGAGTCTGGACAGCATCAACTCTAGTAGCCGCTACTCTAAAGAATAAATGGAATGAATTACTTACCTTTCTTTAGAGCAAGCGCGGCTTCCACCTTGTTCAATCACTGCCACTACGCCTGCCCCAGCTCGCCGTGTTGGATTCCCTTGGTGCCGCCTTCGCTCAAACGAGATAATGGCCGTGAAAGGCTCTCTGAATTGCGGGTCACGGTGCCGATGAATAGAAGCAGACAAATTCCAATGCTGCTGGACAATGGACGCGTTCAAAGCTGGGTGCCGAACATGGATGAGGCTGGCTGGCTGGTCGGCGGAGCAGATCCGGGGGATTTTCTCTTAAAGATGAGCGGCGATGCACTCGGCCTGTACTGGTCTGGAAAGGAAGTGAGTCTGCAAGAGCCTGCCTCGTGTGTACGACTATAACGGCCAATAACGTCCAGGCTGAGAAGGAAAGACGAAACGATGACGCTGGCCTAGCGTACGGCGGGCCCCCCCCTTGGTTGTGCCTGTGTCCTGAGTACCGCCCATGCCGGCGGCAGATTATGCACCAACAGGAACCCGTGGACGATGAGGGCACAGAAAACGAATATGACGAAGGGACAGAGCGATGCGTCCTTGAATCCAATTGGATACCCCTCTATGAATTTGTTGATCACCACGGGGTGGCCAGTCAAGGAGACGGACGGTAGATCAGCCGAAGGCGAGCGGAATATCACGAGCTCGAGGGTCCTGCCCAAGCGCATCTCATCATAGCAGCATCTTCGTAGTCCACTCCCATGGCGTTTGTCAGAGACGGACCTAACGACACGTCGCCGATCGCGAAGTTGTTGCCGTCTTTGAACGTAGCAGCTCATTTGGTCGCTCTCTGTCGAATCCGGGCGGGTACTCTTCACCAATCGGGTCAGGGCGTGAGAAGCGGGAAAGATGAAGTGAAAATCGTGTGAAATGGCAACAGGTTGGAGCCACAACGCACTTGTGGTTCACCCATGCTTCGTATTTATCCAATCTTACGTCTAATGTTTGTGAATCGCCTGCAGACAACAGTGTCCGCTTTTTATCCTGTCCCAGCCGATCGCCGTCTGCAGTTTGACAACGACAACGAATGACCAAGCGTCCTGTTTTTCCGTCTGTACTGAAACCGAAGAGTCAATTCGGAGCGACTCTTGATGCACAACAGAGCTTTTGCCGGTTTTCTCGACATTCCCAGTCTTCTTTGCAGGTGGAGTTCTGTTTGGTCGCGCGAGATATCCGGACAGCCTGCGCCGTCAAAGTCGGATATCAGTCCCCGATGTGCAGTATCTATGAGCATCTCAATCCCAAATCACCACTTTCTGAAGCTTGGCGAGCTGTCCTGTCTGGCCTTGTTCTTGTATGCCGAATGCATGAATGCCAGTGTCGCACTTGGCACGAAATCTAATTGGGGCGATTTGTGCCCTTGATGTCATCCGTGAAGAGAGGATGTGAAGAGAGGATGGGCTGAGAGGGCAGAAACACTCGGACCATGATGCGAGTGCCAATCAGGAGCCCACGCTCGGGAAACAAGCTCGCCTGCGGAGGTGCGAGTCGTTGAGTAAACGCGTAATAAAAGCCCTTTCAGCCATAGAGATCTAAAGAGAAGAGAATAAGAAGGGGGCCGAACAAGCTCTGATTGGTTTTAACCGAAGGGCAGTTGTTGTCTGCCGTCGTCGATGGAGTAGAGACAGTCGCTCTCTCGACCTAGTGGGTGACCGGTTTGGTCAGTAAGTACCCTTAGTACGCTCTTCCAATTCCAACAAGTGCTTAGTTTTAAAGGCACTTGGAGGCTCACGTGCCCGCCGACAGATGACTGAACTATCCGTGAGCGAACTTTCACCCTTTGCCCGCCGCCACCGCAATAGCTGGTCGTCGTAGGTTTTATTATTTTGCAGTTCTTAAAGGCAAGAGGCGGTCTTTGTTTGAATCACCCCCGGGTCAGTGTCCTGGCAGAGGTGAAGCCAACGCGACTGACTGAAGACTTACCACGGCACTGAACAGGGTGTACTTTCCAGTGTATATAAGATAGTGGAACTGACACAGACAAGTGCCTTGCCGACTACCGCCGCCATCAACACGTGGACAAAGTCAACCAAGCCTACTACTTTAGTCAATCAATAGCCCATATCTCAGGGTTGTCCGCGTCCACCACGATCCCATTGACCACCACTCTGACTCCCTCTGGACGAAGATGAGACTTTCCATGGCGCCCGCGACCAACATTGCCTGGGACCCAAGCTCGCTGTACACGCGGAGTCGCTCCACCTGCTCTTCGAGGCGGGTCTTCTGGGCTTCCAGCGTCCTCTTGTCGCGTTCCCATGCGTCGGCATCCTCGTTCTGTTCCCTCCTCGCCTCCACGGCCACTTTCTCCGCCACAGTCACTCTGGCTTCAGATGTCCTGGTGATAGCCCGTACCATGCCCGACTCCGGGATGGGTGGTTGCGGCAGGCCAGCTGAAGCGGACAGAGTAGCGAAGCAGGTCCCTCCAGCTGGGTGGATGGATTATGGTTATTCCGAAACCCGTGTCGCTTTCCGGAACTTTGTTACTCCGGACCCGGGTCGGCATAGAATCGACACCAGTGCCAAGAGGCCAAGAGGCCAAGACACTTAGTTGATGCACAAACCCGAGTCAAGGTTAACGTCAAGTTCCCGTCAAGTTTCTCACGTAGTCATCATGGGCAATGCAGGCCATAAGAGTGCGGGCCACCACCACCACCAACTCTCAAGGCCCCAAGCATCAAATTCTACTCGAGCAGTACATGCCCTCCATTCCGAATCATTGCGCACGCTATACTTGCACGAAATGGAATGTCACTGGCAGCCCGGGAGGATCAGTTAACCCAGTCATTGAATCCACTTCCCCAATGGTACGCCCGAGCCGTTGGACACAAGAAGCTGGGGACCCAATTAAGCTGAAGTTGTCATGTGCTTCCCATATACGAGGACCAAGAATGCGAGTAAATCTGGACGAGAACGTTGCCGTCGCTTACATTTCGGCAAGATTTAATTGGGAGTGTCACAGGTCTTCGTCTTCCCAGGACAGCAGCATGACAAACACACGGAATTATAGCCCATCGCTCAGCCAGCCGAGCGATCGAGAGAGACTTTTTCTCGAAATATGCAGTGGATACTTGAAAAACCCAATCGCGGCGACATAACACGAGGAACATGCTCGGACTACATGCTACCTCAATCAACTATCCGGACGGCCTCCATTGTCTGGCTGCACTCCGCATTAACATCCGGACTGGAACCGGATGGATGGGACAGCGGTGGAATGCTTGAACCACTCGCTGAGACACACCGGTGTCCCGACTCGAGAGGATAGAGAGATATTGAAACACCAGACATGGCCGCGGTCACGCTTAATGCAAGACATCCAATGTCCAGCACGGAACAAAGCAACGACCATGAGCGACATCTACGCATTGACTGAGATGACTGTTGACGTGTTGGCGCCGTAGCGGCCGTCATAGCGGTGCTGACGTCCGTACTCAGCGCTTTGGACACGAGATCAAACGTGCCGGGAATCATGAGCAACATCACGATCGACGGCGCATTCAATGAGGTTCGTGTACGCCCGGCCAGACCCGGTAGAGGTGGGCCGACGAGAAGCAGCAGTAGCGCGCCGAAATGACCGTTATTGACAGTGCTGGTCATGATCGTGGTGAACTCGAACTTGGCGATGCGCATATCCGCACTGATAACGACGACAGCGATGAGGCGTTGCCGGATCGAGTCAGCTCCACGTCGATCTTCACCATTCCATCCCGTGCACCAGGATGGTCATGGACCCTGCTGTTATCGTCGTTATTCCACAGGAAGGAAGCCTCTGGCGTCATTATATCACGTGATCTTCTCCATCGGCTCAGTAATGTATGTTCACCAACCTGTCACTCTCCGCCTTGAAGACTGGAAACCTTTTCTTGGAGCTGGTACATTTGGTCGACTGAGGGCAACAGCTGACTCCAAGACAGGAACGAGGACGTTTTACGTCATCCCCAATCATCTTTTCTTTCGAGGGGAAGCCGAGTATGGCGCCGGAGTGAGGGTCAATTGATCTATTCGAACGAAAAATTTGCGCCATTTCAATGACCCGTATGGAGTCTAGCAAGTCAGAACCATTCATGCCTAGCCTGACCAATTTACCTCCAAGCTCATCCTGCCGGTGCCCGGTCAAAGAATTTTGCATAGCCAACTCTTGACTCATCCTGCTTGTCACTTCTTGGTCTGCGTTCCGCAATCGACCGAGATAGTACTGTTAACAAGCAGGGCACTTTAGCCATGAATGATATTGAGACCGTGAACAACATCAGTCATACTACGAAGCAGTAGAAGAAGTCATCTCCTGGAGATGATGAAGTACCGCTTGGTACCACAGATTCTGGGCAGAGTCGCCAAAAAGGGGTCGTTTTTCACTCGCGCGACCACAGGGCTCCTACAACAGCATCAAGCACAACGTATCCGGTTTGCCGCATTTGACTTTTTTCCATTAGCCTGCCTGATCTTGGATGGCCTTTTCAATTTTTATGTGGCTCTGCTCTCTTGTCCACGGTGGCTGGGGGCCAGGGGGTACCAGGGGGGCTTCCGCCATCGGGGCTCAGTCTCAACTCTCCTCGACCGCTGCTCCTCTGTTACCCTCCTGGTTGACATTCAAGTTCTCAGTTTTGACTCGCTTCTAGCTTCACCCGTTGGGCTGATAGCCAAACCTCTCTCGACGCGCGAATTGGGAGTGTCTTTGGCGACGCTGTCATGAGTTCTTCACATCTTGAGCCCTCCTGGGCTTTTGGACACGGCCAGTCAGCTTGATCTGATACTCATCATCCTTCCCCTTTGCTCTCGACCTCCACCTTCCGCACAGAAGCGCGTGTTAGACGTGCTTGTCAATAACTTGTGGACGGTGAATGGAATCGCGTCCCTTCTCTATCGGATGCTCTGGCCTGGGACCTTCAATCTGCAGCTCCCCAAGAGCCGCCCACGAGAAGACTTTGCCAAGTACGACTTTTCCCAAATCCTGGCAATCACGGGCATCATTCAGTCATTCTAGCTGTCAAATCTGGCTACGTTAGTCCTCATTGGAGTTATATCATAGGAGCCACCAACGTTGCCCAGGGCGGCTTGTGAAGTGCCACTCATCTCGTTGTCTTGGCAAAACCCCTGGAGCTGCTATCGACGCGCAAATTTGCCCCTTGATTTGTCGATCTCATTCCCGAGATCAAGTACAGCAAACAGTTAATATCTCCAGCAAGACCTTTTGTCAATATGACACAGACACTACACCTTTCAAATCCACAGTCCACCACTCTCATTACTCGCTGGAACTGAGGTTAAGCAGGTCTCTTGATCGCATGGGACCGAGAATCCTGTTTCGGTGGGCTACAAGCATTACTCCGGCACCGAGACTGCGACGTCAAAGAGCTTGATGCCTTGTCCTTCTCGGGAGAGAACACACAGAGCGCCGTCAGCATCTCAGCATTAAACTCCCGTCAAATTCCAAAGGCGTCAGCATCGTGGACCTCGATTACCATGCATGCATCATGCAGGAGGGCACCGCCGTTCGGCTTTATTCACGGTAACCTCTTTCTGCGCCGAGGTCTACCGCCGTTGTAGTGGTGAACAAGGGGTGAAGCATGCGCCGTATACCCGCCTGCTTACTTCTCGTGCTCTGCAGAATTGGTGCAGGAGGTTGCGGAACCTCAGCACAAAGTGTTTCTCTCTCTCTCTCATTGGACGCCCCGCCTCTTACGCTGCTAAGCTATTGCTCCGTGGACATTCTCACACATTCCCTTCGTGGGTTCTCTCTCTCAGAGGTCTTCCTACGATCTTCACAGAGCTCCTCCGCCAACCGCTTCACAATCCTCGAAAGTCGATCAATCTCCCTGTATCTGCGGCCGGTCCTTGCGTCAAGATCTTCGCTGAGGCAGAGACGACAGCTCATCTCGTTGACCATGCACTTCCTTCGCCCCCCACAAGCTAACACCACTCGAGCCTCCACGCCTCCTCGTCCTCATTCTCGGCTTCTTTCTACGGATATCGCAAGGCAATACGGTCGAATCAATGCAATCGGCATACGAGATTGAATCAATCCAGCACAACAGGAAGACAAAGAGTCCCAAGACCATCTCACAAACATGTCGAATATGCAACCGTGGAAGCACGTGACTACCAAGACTGGCTTGCATGTTCTGCCGTAAAAGCAGCACTTGACGGTCCACCCTACTCGATAACTAAGCGAGGCTGCATGTCACATGGCAGGCTGAATTTCCTCTCCGTCTCACAATTTCAGAAACGTTGTTTGTCGGGTCACAAAAATCTTCGGGTATTTCCTAATCCGGAAATACTCATACCCGAAACAGACAAGCTCTTGGCAGCGCTGCATTCGAGGCTTCGTCCACCACCTCAAACGTAAAACAAACCAGCGTCATGCGTGCGTCTCGACGTGACGGTGGTGGTAGTGGCAGCCGCCGCTGTTGTCGTCGATCCCGGCTGCCGTCTGCCGTCCCCAACATGGAGCTCTTGTCAAACTGGTATTCAGTGGGACAGGCATAAGTATGCGGGCGGCGGCTTCGCATCGTCAAGCACGTAACAAAGCCAGCCTGCTGGTAGAAGGTACGACACGTCTCGATGTTTATTTCGAGGAGGAGCTACTGACCACTATTGATGAGCAGCTGGTACGGCCCGCCGCCACGGTTGAGCAGAATGCTCCCCCCGTCGGCGAGTTGTGAGTTTCGTCAGCGTAGTCCCCAGACCTCGTCACACGTTTCGGCCTCTTCGGATAGTAATACTACGGCGCAATCGTGGTCAGAGGGCATTGGATGTCCACGGGTGCTCGGAAACAGAAAAGAATCCTTTCAGTACTCGAAAAGCCAGACCTTCAATATGTTCGTTTGGCTATCCGTAGGGAAGAGGGGCGAACCGATAGCCAGTGGCGAAGCCAGAAAGATAGTGCATGGTAGCTCCACCCCGGGACCACAGGAAGAACAGAGCGAAGGCATACTTTTCGTGGGTGATCAAGGCAAGGTCGGTCATTCTTGTGTCGCCATCTCCCGGACTTGGGTTTGTCGAAGTCGAGCCCCCTTTTGAGCCCAGTGTTGGGCCCGATAGGGAGGAAGCGAGACAGCACAGGTACGAGGAGGGATGAGGGAAAGGGGCAAGGCAAAAAGACATGGCCAAAAGAGAGGAGCGAGAGAAGATGGAAAACTGTTCTACCGGCGGTTGATAGGCAATGCCGTCTGTCTGTCTGTCTCGTTCTCGTGTCGGTAAATTACCTGTAAATCGCCAGCTGTTGTCCCTGTCCTGTCCTGACACACTTGACCCCTCAGCGTCTGGACCAGGTCGAGTTGTTGTTGAATGAAATCGCTCAAGGTCTGGCCCCAAAGCAAAAGAAGAGGACTTTGGTAGACCCACATCTGCCTTCATGGCACTCGTGTAATGACTCCAATCCAGAGATCTCAATCGCCCCCCGTTTCTGGACCTTGTTCGTGTAACAGTCAATGTCAACGTATTCACATACCGGAAACTTTGTGTTTGTTCAACTAAGGTAACCCCCACAAGCCACGGGTAATTACGGAGTTGATCCAGCTTCGCTTACGGTCAGCGAGTTAAGCGCAGAGAAATCAATCGAGATCCACAATGTTGCCGTCAGGGGCCAGCTGGCCAGCGGTCGAGGTTGCAGTCGCCCTCATCACCAAAGCCACCGCCTACGGAGCGGCAACAGAGACAGCGCGAGTTCAAACGATAGGCGTGTCAGAGGGACGACCGGGTGCGCCATACTCTCCATCATCTGGCTGGAAAAGGGTCGTCGTTCCTGACAAGGACCAAATATGACGAATTCTCGACCATTCGGTCGGTGAACCTCTCTACCTTGCAGCAGCTGCCACTCAGCCCTGTCGAGAGTGACATTCTCACCTGGGGGTGGAGGCCAGGGAGCTGCCATCACTGCGAAACACGGGCGAGATCTGACCTACCCGATCTCAGGGTTGACCTCGACACAGAATAGAATCTCGCAATCGTTCACTTTGCTGATGGAGGAAATCTTGGAAAGACACTGCGAGGGTGGGCAGGCCGCTAGTGTTACGCAGAGTCCCATCCAGTGGCCTACCACCGACATCTCATTCCAGTAAGTACGTAGAGGTGGGTAAAACCAGTCGTGCATATAAGGCTCTCGGGAGAGAAGGCAGTACAAGGTTGAGACACAGGTATGAGGCTGATAAGATGGAGGAGAGGTCTGGTACTTGATCCACACGACAGTAAAAGCGGAAGCTATCGGAGTTTGCCCCTGTTGACTCAGGCGGGGACCAGTCAGTCTCTTTTTCCTTTCGCAAGTCTTGAGGTGTTGTTGCCCGGAGCAAGGGTCTACCGAAAGTCTTGACTACGAAACATCAGACGTCGGCACAGGGATCTTAGCCGTCGGCATCAAATAGTCTTGGCGTGCCGGGTAGGGGGAACTACTTGGGCTATCGGTCGATTTCTCATGCACAGGTCTTCACCTCAACGTTTGAGGGCCATTAATCTTGATTTGAAGAGGCGTGATTCCCTCAGCGGTCGAGTGGGCTGATTTGGTCTCGGTGTCGGAAGAGAAACAGCGTGTCCACGCTCTGCGTCGTGACCACCTCCAACATGACGTACAGTACGAAGTTCCTCCAAACTGAGGGATCGAGCCAGTCATGTCTGGTGCGATTCGAACTCGACCC